ACAACAGATAGGAAAATTAGGTAACTGTTCCGTGCGTAGACTGGGCCTGCTTCCCCCAAAATGCAGCCTTCCAAGGTTGTTACCTCAGAGTCTGAATCAGAACTGAAAGAAGCGGTGGAAGGGTCAGAGTTCGTAGCGGAAAGGCCAAGGCCAGCTGGCCCAGTGATAGGCCAAGAGGCTGGTGAGAAAGAGACCGCCTTTGGTTCTGTAGAAAAGCAGGTGGTGTCGGATGATCAGTCCCATAGTCCGGCACTAGATCAGAGGGCAGTCCAGTTGAGTAATGTCCAGTGTTCCTGCCATTTGGCCCACAACCAGCAGGAGCTACCCTCTGAGTGGAGGCAGCTCCTTTGGGTTAGGAAAGGAGAAGAAGGATTCAGTCTGGAACCAGGGTCTTAGCATGAAGCCATATTTCCTAATACCTGGCATTCTTTTGTTAATGACCTCTGCAATGCTCCTGGCCACTCTAATGTAAAAAAGGCTACAGTTAGTAGCCTCTAGTCTTGATCTGCTTGGAAGGAGAATTGGAAGAAAGACTGTCCTCTGACACGGTGGTGGAGACAGACAGCGACCGTCTGTCAGGGAGGACCAGGCTGAAAGCACAATCAGCAGGAGAGGAGAGAAGTAGGCTTGCTGATGGTGCTCCCAGAGACCAGCGTGGAGGGAATTGGCAGCAGGAAGGAAACAGCGTTCTCTAGTGAAAGAAAAGCAAGGGGAGGTGAGCAGGTGAAGTCCAGCTGCTTCTTGACTGTTGGAGACTGGTGTGTGTGTGCGTGTGGGAGGGTAGTTGCTTCTGCCATGGACAGAGTCAGCACAGAGGGGAGGCTGAGCAAAAGTGGCTTCTTTGATGAGGGGCAGGCAGGCAGGTGAAGAGGGAGCCAGGAGTCAGGAAACTTCTCCAGGACTTGGAGCACAGAAGGGAAAGGTGAGAGCCGCTTCTGAGTGAGAGTGAGAGCCACTTCTGCAACTGCTGGAGAGCTGAGAAGGTCTCAGCAGGGGAGGGGATGGTGAGAGTAAACTGCTTCTCAGGCAGGCCAAGAAAGCCTTAAGCTAACTGCAGATGAAGGGCAAGGCCAAAGAAAAATCCCCAAACGAAATGGAAGGGCTTACCAGTGTTATTTTAAACAGACAACTAACATCAGCTGTCAATCTGCCAAGGAGTGGGGGATGGTTGGGAAAACTTTCTGTCAAGAGATAGAAAAAGTGAAGCATATGCAGAGTTGCTTTGTACCCCAAGAGCAAAAGGGCCACAACTGTCATGAGTGACCCAAGGATGGCAGCTTAGGAATGTTCCTGCAAAGGCCCCTGGGGGTGAGTGAGTGGACTGAGTCAGAAAAGAGACACGGAGAGCTGCTTGCCAGCACCGTTGTGGGTTATTCAGTGAAGAAGACCGTTACGTTTTATTATGAGGGTGGGTTATTGTGACAGGTGAACCCACCCAATGTCAACACAGCCACTGAAGATACCAGCATGGGGTTAAATACATGTGACCCTTTTGTGTCGTATGTGTCACGTATGTTTGTGTGTGTGCTCTAGCCTTTTTTAACCAATCCTATTTATATCTAAAAGGTCAGGTAGCAGATAGTAGATAGCAGGTATTCCCCCAAAAGGGACAGTGTATAGGGACTGGGCCTGCTTCTTTCAAAATACAGCATTTCATGCTAGAAAGTTCAGACTTTTTAATTTATAAGACTATCCCGCCCCATTAGCCATAAGGCTCCCTCGAATTAGAACAGGATGGGCTGAAATGTGTTACTGAAATGCCATGGTTAATGAATGAAATGAGCCAAGTAGCTGGTGAGAACTTTGGTTCAGGAGGAGACAAGGGGGATTAGAGGGGAAGGGGCGCGAGTTCCTCACTCACTGGTTTGCCACCAAGCCAAATGAGTGGCCCAATTTTGTCCCATCCATCTGGCCACAATCAGCCTGAGCCTCCCTGAAAGTGGAGCCAGCCTTTTTGGAAGAGAAGGGAAGAGTGGTTTTTTGGGAATCAGCTCCTGACTTGTGCAAGAGTCAATTCTGCCAGTTAGATGGGTCATTGCTTCACAGATGCTACTTGTCAACAACTTTATTATTACTCACTCAGTATTGAAAGGCCATTCTAGCTCAATAAATGACAGACTTTTAGGCTTTCATCATTATCCGCCAGAAGGGAAAAAGAGAGAAAGATGCTCATGGTGAAATGTGTCTTATTCCAGCACAGTGAATTAACTGGGTACGGTTTTCCTTAAGGACTGTTCAGCCTCTCCACATTTCCGTCAAAGCCATAGGCTCAAGGGTAGGAGGCCTGTTGGGATGCTGTGTATAATCCTGTAAATACATCCAGAGTTGCTTGCACTTGTGTGGGGTTGGAATCCAGTCGTCAAGCCTCAAATAGGAGAGTCTTTTTGTTAAGGATTGTTTTCCTCATATTGGCTAGAATCACTCAGAATATTGTTGCTCAGGGTGGACTAAGTATTCAGTATCGAATGCAAAGTAGCTCAGGGCCCAATCCGGTCAGGAAACCCTGAGCATCCATATTTAGAGGGCATCTCATGCAGAGCAGAAGGAGCAGCGGAAGTGACTTCTGCCCTCCCCATGCCACACACGCATCCTCACACTGCCGGATGGATGGTTTTGGACATCTAGCAGGGTACTTGGAGCCACACGTTATCTTGCCTCTGAGCTCTGCTTCCTTCCCCATGCATGGTGGGTCTTGTGCCAGTTGCTGAGCAGGGCAGGACAGAATGCATCCAAGGCAGGAGTACTGTTGCTGGGAATTTGATGTATTTCAGATCCCTCAGATGATGTTTAGGGGCCCATAGGATTACTTCCTAAATATATATTACCAAAACTTGTCTGTGGTCCAGACCTGGCTTGAGTATCTTCTTGCTGTTTTCAGCATTTGGTTGACCCAAATGCTGAACTTTCTGGATCCACTAATATTTCTCAGTTTGCCTTTTGCGCAACAGTGTGGATGGACACATTTGACACTTAAGTGAAAGAATCTACATCTTTGCTGTAGGAACCATTCTTTAATATTTCAAGCTGCCTCAAATTCCGGAACAGGAATAGACTTGGCTGTTTAATAATGTAGCACTCTAGTGAGTATAAACCTGAAGGGAATTTTTTTCAAAATGTCTCACCCTATTAAGTTAAGTGTAATCTCCATCTAGACAAGGGATGTGGGTGTCAGGTTCCCAGAACCAATCTCATTCATATATTTTGGAACTGTCCTAATATTTAACAATTTTGGAATGAAATTCTCATAAAATGCAGACGATGACAGGACATCAGTTATCAGCTAATCTTAAGATTATTGTACTGTGTTCTTTGAAAGGTGGCATTCAGTCTGTACATTTACAACTGGTAATAGCATTGTTATAAGCAGCCAAGATATGCATTGCCTAATGGTGGAAAATGGCAGTGTTTCATATCTTTTCAGGAAAATCTGGGATATAGCTTTTCTTTAAAAGTTAACTTATTTTACAGAAGGACAGAGTAATCCAGGAGATGATATTATACCAAGATGGGGATTATTTGGTTTACAATGAGATATTTCAGGATAATATTGAATAATATTTGGCTTTTTCCCCAACTTATGGCATTCTGTTATTATTGACTTTCTCTAATATTTCTAGTTTGCTTGATAACACATATTTTAATATATTTGGTGTGGTTGCTGAATTTTTGTTTATATAGTATTTATATATGTGTATGATGCTTATGCTTTAAATATAATAATGATGATGATGATAATATGGTAAATAGTTCAAACATCTTTTGGTAGCATCTTTTGCTACTCATACCAGCAAGATACATCTCTTTCACTATTGTACTGTGGATCGTGTGCTTACTCAGAAAAGAACTAGAAATTTGGATCCAGACTGATTAATTTGAACACAGTCATCATGACCTACATCTCACTGATAAGAAACTTGTGTCTACCACAAAAAATGGCAGCCCACATCAGATATTTCCTCCTTGTCCTCTGTAACATGAAAATAACTTACTCTGTGTCTTGCTGACACCAATACATTTTTCACTGCCTTTCCGTATTGGTGGCTGCTGCTGATGGGGACAGGAAATGCTCAGTGTGATGTAGTCAGGAGGACACAAGCTAAGCTGCATTCCTTTTCATGGAGAGTCAAGATGGATCCCCACACAAGGCTGCCTCTTTTGGCAGAAGGCCTGTGGTATCTTATTATATGTTATTCTGCCCTTAATGGCATGGACAACTTGTAACCTTCCAGATATTTTGGCCTATAACTCCCATCAGCTTTAGTCAGCATTGGCAATGATGAGGAATGATGGGAGTTGTAGGTAAAACTTACGTTGGAGCCTAACTTGCCCACACTTTATATAAGACAAGTGTAGCAGTTTTCCTTAGCCAAATTTTGATAGTGAATTAATGCTGTATATGTTTACCATGAATGCAAGCCTGGCGTTACTTATCCATATGATGTTTTCAATGGAACTTGTGTTTTACTGACAAATGCCATTAAAGAGAGTGAGGTGGCCTCCTTACACTGTAGGAGTTGCGGGCTTTGCTGCCGCAATGTGACTAGCCTTGGATATGATGGAGCTTGACTTGGGAGGGCTTTATGCTATACTGCCTCAGACATGGAAAAGTCCTTGGACAGCCCTATGTGATACTTCTTTCCTTCCAGATTTCTCAGATCATTTGTTAACTGATTCTTCTTTGCTCTTCTGGGTTGAGAGCCCACATATTTATAGCAGAGGCTGGGGGAATACACATGTGAGGGCTGCTGCACTCATTTCTTCCTGGAAGACTGTTGGGCTTGGAAGGCTTTAGCTTGTCAAAGAGTTCGTGGATTTATTGAAGGAAAATGCATTGACTTTGCTTGCTACAGTGGGCAGGCGGGTGGGCATCTATAGACAGGATCACCCAGAGCAAGGTGGGTGGTCAGATGTAGCTTGTCAAGGCAAGGGCTGTCACCATGGAACTTATGTATTCATTTCTTGTAATGTTAATGAAACATTCCTTTGCTTTTGATTTCCAGGGTCTTGGTTGGTGCCCCAATGGCAGATTCTAAATACAGTCCCTCTCTTAAGTCCCCAGGAGCTGTGTTTAAATGTCGTGTTCACACTAACCCTGATAGGAGGTGCACAGAACTGGATATGGGTCGAGGTATGTATGTGTAGACCTTTTTTAATGTTTATGCAGATGAAACCACCTTATTTTAAAGACTTCTCTTCCCAAGACTCTTAAGCCTTTCCTGCATATGAAACTTCTGCTCTGCTTTGACTTCCAGGGCCAGTGTAGATGTACAAGAAATAACCTCCATAAAAGGAGGAACAACATGGCATGGGAAAATGTCATACCAGTGTCACCCCTTCCAATATCTAGCACATGTCTCTTCCTTGCTGTTCCACCTTACTGTAGATTGGACCGGTTAAAAATTGACATGTTGCTCCCATCCTTTCCCCTTATTTCCTTCTTTTCACCCCACTAAAAATAGGGTCTGATGTATCTTTGTGCTTTAATCCAAAGTTCTTTGAAGTTCCAGCTCTTCCTGGAACATTGGTCCTCCTCACTCTTTCCTGTTCCTGGGGTTTCTGCAATGCTGGCAGTATTCCTGGGGAGGGGGTGGGGGTGGGGAGTCTGTACATCACCAATTCTGGGAGTTTACCCTGTCACTTAAGAACCTTCTGTGGCTGTTTGATCAAGACAGCTAAGAGTGAAGAAGATTAGTTCTAGTGGCACCATAAGACACAAACAGGTGTTATGGAATGATATTAGAAGTCCCATCTCCTTTGTCAGTGTCTTTACATGGTGATAATAACATGGTGTCCATTTCCCATGGATTGACTTGTTAGGTAGAATAGGGATGTGGAACTTCCACATCTGGAACATGCAACCTTCTTGGGTTCTTCTAGGAGATAAGGCTTAGTTCGAAGCCTTGCCCTCTAGTGGCAGGGTACTTAACTAGACCTAGGAGGAGCAGCTGCAGTGTTTTCTAGTATCAACTAAGTGGCTTCTCATGGTACCTCCACAGGAAAGATGCATGCTCCACGAAGCCAGGGAGCCAGTAGTTTCCAGAGCTTCCAACACTGGCCCAGTGTTTCTTTTCACTGTTGCTGATAATGCGAGTTTGGTAGAGCAGGCACCCAAGTAGGCTGGCCTTGGGAGAAGCAGCTTTTTTTCCCCAGGCCTGCTCCTTTCAGAAGCTCTGAGAGAACAGCAATAACATCAGTGGCCATGGGTGCACCTGGTGGCATCATCCTGCCCACTTCAGCCCTGGTGGGAGGCAATCTAGATTCCCACTCAACGTCTCTTCCACACTCCTGATGCAGATGCTGAAAACACTCTCATGGCCTTTGATAAACCTGGTAGTTTTGGCTGGGCCACTATATTCTTTTGATCATTCATTCTGATTGGGAAGGGCATTATGCTAACGTGAATTCACCCTGAATCCACCAGATAGGATAAGGCTAAATTAACTGAAGTGAGCATTTCCTGTAGATATTCCAGAACTTAACGTCATGTTTACCCCTGATAAACTCTCACCAGGCTTCCTGCGTTTGTTTCAGCTAATGTTCGGGGAGTACCCTGCGGGAAGACATGCAAAGAGGATAGAAATGATGAATGGATGGGTGTAAGTCTGGCCAGACAGCCCACGGCTTCAGGAAGCATACTGGTATGCTCAGTTTCCCTTAGTCTCATTAAACTGTTAAGTGTCACGTTGTCACTGATAGTTGGTGTGTGTGAATTAATGTGCTTTCCTGGTGACTGACCGAGTCCAGCTAACTCTGTAATCGCTTCCTTTAAGGAGAAGGCACATCAGATCCCAGGGACAAAGCTTGCTTCTAGAAGGAAAGCTTCAAAGCACTGACACCTGCCATCCTCGAGGGCTTCCTTTTAAAAGCGACAAGGGCTTCAAGACTTGGAACAGCATAAATGGCACTCTGTCTTCTTATGAAAGAGACTTTTCTCCTTCCTTTGTTATTAAAAAGAGAAAAAGAAAAAAGAAATTACATGCCCGGGTAGAGATATTCAGTACATCATGCCCAATCACAGAATTTTACAAGAAAACTTAAATTTGTGTATAAGCCATATGTTAAGTGAGCACCCGAAATGCCTATTTTGGGGGATTGGCCTGCTGATGCCAGTGCTTAAGCACTGAAGTCGGTGGAAATAGTTTTTCTGTATCCGGGTGCCTTGCTCATGACAGAGAATGTTGCAGATTAGTTACGCAAAAGCATGGCGGACTTTCCCATACCCAATGGCCTTTGGCCACCATCACCCACATTTGACCCATTAGTAGTGTGTACCAGCTCTCCGCACATGATGCATGCATAACGGAGTCCCGTTTGTAGGACATCTGGGGGCTTGCCTCTTTAGCCTTGCCTTTGGCAATGGACAGGTTCCCAGGATCACGAGGGCAAATAAGCCAAGGTGGCTTATCTTCCCTGCCCCATGCATGCCAGGGAAGATAAGCATGCCTGGGGCAGGGAAGATAATGTGCCCACAATTTGCCCAGTTACTCTTGTGGTATGTGGGTTTTTATTTATTAAATTTGTATAAAAGCTGCCCATTAGCATCATGTTCTCTGGGCAGCCATTACAATAAAATAACATTAAATAAAATAATTCAGTTAACATACGGCAATAAATAAGATAAAATACAATATATATAGTCAAGCCAAAATGGAAATTGATAAAATCAATACATTAAAACTGGTGCCATTAATATAGATGGTTTAAGTAGTGCCGTAGGTGTGTCGAAAAAGAAAAGTTTTCATCAGACACCTAAAACTCAGATGGGTGCCTGATGAATCTTCAATGGCAGGGCATTCCACAATTGTGGGTTGTTATGTTGTTCAGACCCAGCAAGGTTTGCAGCAGGGGATGGCTTCCAAACCACCCCAAAACCCTACAATAAGCCATGGTTCCTGGGGTGGTTTCTAAGCTATCAGTTACGGATGATATGGCAGTCTGGGTGTTACAAGGGCAATTAGGCAAATCAAGACCAGCACCCACAGGGCTGGGAGAAGAAGCCACCATGATTGTGTGAACCCAGCCACTGTGTTTCTCCTCTGATCTCCGCTCTAGCTATACACCTGGAAGACTGAAGTGAGCAAGTATTTGCTTATAGACTTCCCCATGTGGAGTGCTCCCTGGTTTTGAAATCCCTGAGCAGCAGTGGTTCTAGGATCTGGGGGAGTCTCCAGGCTGCAAGGCTGTCAAGTGGATGGACAGTGAAGGCAGAGACCTGGAGGACAAGCCTGGGATGAGCCAGGCCTCCTGAGGGAAGGGCCAAATGTGTGTCCATGAAGTCCCTTTCAACATGCTTTGCTCCTTCACACAAGCAATGTGAAAAGGGGGCCAAAGTATAACAAAGGCCTCAGCAAGTACAGCTGAGTAGAAACTTCTACTTTTGCAGATAGATATTTAGCAGTTCTGAAAACACCTCCGAATTTTGGCAGCAGCCGAAAGATTGGCTTCTTTATTTCCATTTCTAAGCATTTGCTTGCTTTATTTATGCAAGTCTCTGCCTTCCAGAAATGAATGTGTGGGGAAAGCTGGACAATTGGACATTCATGGACAATGTGTGCTTGCAAAGGGGAATATGTCTATTTTGGGGGGCGATGTATCCATTCTGCTTCTCAACCACATGAAGCCTGTTGCTGCCACTGGGATGTACAAACCAAACCTTAATGCCTTTTGAGGTGCATTTATGATTTCAACCCCACTGAAATGTGTAGATGTATAAAACAATCAAAATCAAAACTAGAGGCTATTTGGTGCAATTTTGTTGTCATGTTTCATGGAAATAATTTTAATTATGATGGGAGAAGATTAGTAGTTTCTTTGAATTGACATGCTCTACTAAAGCCACCTATGAAGAGGCATGGATGTCTAAGTACTGCAGTATGCTTCTGTTAAATAACAGTTTTGGAGAGAAAGCTAAATAGATGCCTGGAGATGAAAAAAATGCCGACAGCATGAGCTCTGAATATAATTTTAGAAAGTCCTTTGGACTTTGAAGTATTATCATTACAACCAGTGTTTGTATTAATGTAAGTGTTTTAATAACATAGCAGGAGTTGCCAGTGCCTCCCATGCTAGGACTTCAACATTATTCTCTTCCTTGTACTGGAAAAGTAACTGGGAGCAGTGCAAGTCAGTTGTGGGAAAGTTTCATGTCTTTCCATCTTTTTATTTTTTCACTCTGTTTATTGGTCATGCAATTTGTTTTCACCCCCTTCTCTCTGAAGTATTGACCTTTAAATTTTTTTTTAAACAATTGAATGGTTACAAGTGCAGATCCATATGTGCCTGAGAAGGAAGTCTCAGAGTATTTGAGGTAGCTCATTCGCAGCAGGCAAGTGTAGGTTTGCACTGTGTCCTGTGTCGTTCTGTGGCTGGATTTTAGAGTCCACGTTTTAAGTGTGCAGGATTGCTTGTCAATTCTGTACCTGCATTAACCTCTTCATGGTTGGAAATCTGAGCTCCCATCCGAGCCTCACTCGAATTAAGTAAACCCCAAGGGCCCTAGGGATGGCTTGGGAAGATTCGATGCTCAGTTGCTGAGTCTAACCAGATGTGGAGTTGGTTATTTACCTGGAGAAGAGACCTCCAGGATGCAAGAGAACTTGCTTCACTGGAACTTTATTCACTTCTTTTACCTTGTTGGCTGTTTGGTCTGTGGTTAGAACAGGGATTGCCAAACTTTTTGGGTTCATAGACAAATCTGAATGTGGCAGGTTTGATGGGCGGAGGGGCACTCACAAAAAATGGCTGCTAGAGGGGAGCTGCCCATTCACATGGCTACATTTTTGTGTTCCAATATTCATTCTACAGAAGACAAACTGCTGAGTTTGAGAATTTTGTGTGAACCATGAACCAGGAAACCCATGCTTCATATTTGAACTAGGCCTAGAGATGCCTTATTTACAAAGAATCACGTTCAGGAAATGCTCTCTTTCAGGAGAGCAAATTTCTTCCTCCCTTCTTTAGGCTAGTTATGGAAAACATCAGAAATGTCCTTATCCAACGTCAAAACTAACCACATTTACCTTTATCCAGGAAATGAAGGCCCAGTTAGTTAGTGTCTAGCAGGGCTGAATGGGGTTAACTATGCCTGACTTTGGTACTGATGTTTTCCTTAGGGAAAGCCTATTAGGGAAAACTGGAAATATGGTTCTGAGAACTGATGAGGTCAGTGGTTTAGGAAGAGGATGTTCTGCATGCAGAAGGTTGCAGATATAATTCCTTTCATTTCTAGCCTTTTTTTAAAGGAACCAATAGTATGTCATGTGAGAGACCTGTGTTGAGACCTCGGAGATTCTTTTCCAGTCAGTGTAGACCAGGGGTGGAGAACTTCAAGCCCAGGCACCAGATGCAGCCTCAGGAGTACACAATGGAACATACTCCAATAGTTAGAGCAAAACAAGTACAGCAAAACATATGGCCTTCTAGATCAGGGATGGACCTTGAGTCTCTGGCCATCCTTGGATCCTAATCTAGCCCCCCTGGTTTCCACAGATGACCATGCCTCATTTCAGTGGCCCCACCTATTTTCTTTCAACAGTTAGCTGGTTTCTCAGTTTTTGTGCCATTTTTTCTCCCAGGCTAAAAGGGTGAAACGAAGGCTTAGTTATTGGCAGTAAAAGCTTTAATATTCTAAAATATGCAAGTATTGGGAGGGGAATTTGGGCCCCACCATTTTAGCCTCTGGCTCCCTGGAATGAAGCTCTTGAGAGAGTCTCTAATATGGAATTTTTTGGCCTTCAGTTGAAACAGGTTCTGTGCCTCATGTGCACAAGGCTAGGCTCTACGCACAGATAGGCCTGACACAGGGCAGCTTCTTGCATTACAATGTCAACTGACTTGCTTTGCCATTCTGGCTGTCCATTTCAGCCTAGATTTTGGCATCCCTGTAAAACAGCATCCAGTTTTTCTTCCCCTCTCCTCCTCATACCCTTGCCTAGAAATCTTCCCGAATCATTCCTGCTGGTGTCACTGAGATGCTGTTGATCCTTTCAATTTACAGCAGCCCCCAATGTTCTTCCAGGAGAGTTTAAATAGGGTAAGTGATGTGGATCACTGGCAGTTGCTCCTCGTGTCAAATATAAATATATAAAAATCCAGCATAATACTGTCATGAGACTTTATTTATTTTGCCATAATTTAACAGAGGCTTTTGTTGCAATGGTTTGGATTGGCTGTACATTTTCACTGTATGTACAATTCCTTCCTTCTTGCAACACATCCTCTTCTGCAGTTTCCTCAGGAGACTCGGAAAGCTGGCCTTGACCCCGCATGCTTGTGAGATACTGTCTTCCATGAAAATGTCTGTCTGCCTTTTGCATTCACAGTGGAAATGCTCCATGGGAGAAGCTCTTTCCTGAACACTCTTGATATCAATATTTCATGGTTTTGATTTAAAATCTAAATGCAATGTGTTGAGGGAATTAGAATCGTAACACGGGTGGCTGAAAAGAGCAAATAACATGTCTTCAGTTGCTGACTAGGTTCCTTTCCATTCATCTGGCTGTCAAAGCTGAGTGCCCTTATAAACATCCTTTGTCGAACTGTAGTATTCCGTGCTCTGACATAAGAGGACTTAATGAAGAGACACTTAAGACGAGCAGCATCAATAGGCTGGTATGATGACTATCTCGGTTTATCACACAGCTGCATCTGTGACACCAAGCACAGTATGCCCAAGTACTGCTGAAATTTTTATTAATTATATTTATATACTGCCCAATAGCTGAAGTACTCTAGGCAGTTTGTGGCAGTATAAAGAAAGTAAGCCTACCAACCTCTTAAAAAACATTTGATTTTCACTGCCCACTTTCCTTTTTATAAATGAAGTCTGAAATATATTCAAAGAAAGGCATTTAAGCTTTGCTGAGAATCCTGTTTTCCCACTCAAATTTAGTGGGAAATTTGCTCCAAGTAGGTTCCTGGAGAATGTCAAATGCTTGGACTCACTTGAGAATTTTGAGTGCTTTTGACTGTGTCCAGAGCAGGGTCTTGTGTCAACCTTAGAGGGACACCTTCCCTCAGACCAGGTGATTTGCTGTGTATGGGAGTCTTGAGGCATTCTCCTGCTGCCTGTACCCCATAGAGGGCCTTTCTGCCTTGGTATAGAGACCTCTTGAGGTAGGGCAGGACAGTGGGAACAAAGCAACTTACCACATTACAGCTCCTTACTAATGGGGTAGCACAACTTGCAAGGTGGCACGTTGACTCTTCTCGCTGTGGATCCCAAGGCTGTAGTTGTCTGACAGACAAACTGGTGAGCCTGGGAAAGTAATCAGATATCACTTCTATTTTTTGCATTAATATTAGTCAAGGGATATTGGAGAAATCTGCAGCAGACTCAAATGAGTTCAGTTTTTAATGAACTTGATCCACAGAGTCCATGGTGGATCAGGTTTTCCTGAATTGCATGGATTCTGCAGACTCACAAACTTTTTTGATTTCTCACAATATGGTATCCATATAGTCCTAGAAAAATATGCAAAATAGAAATATACTATTCAAAAAGGTATACTTATGAACGATAGTGTGAAAATGTATATTTGGGGTTTTGGTGTATTTTGAGGGGATTTGAGTGATTTTGGAAGTATAGGTTTGCATGAATGCAAATTTGTGAAAATATGCATGAATACATTTGTGCAAACTCTGATTCCATCAATGAGCATAAAACAGAATGGAAGATACCTGATGATCCATGAAACACAGACTGAAATCGTTCAGTTTCTTTTTTACTCTGAACCTGTAGATGAGAAGAGCTCAAAATCTGGGGCCAGTCCAGTAAAATGATCGTGTCTTTTTAAGAATTGGTTGCACACAATGGCCTGTAGCTCTAATGATAAGCCTGTGACCTCTAGATCTTGTTAGATTACAGCTCCCATAAACCCTCAGGCATGCTTGCTGAGGCTGGTTAAAGTTGGAGTCCAATGACACCTGGAGGCATCCTCATCCCAGTCTGTGAAGCTATCAGAGGTAGCTGAAGTATCATCATTTCCTGTGGTGTACGTGTGAACCTCCTTTGTCCTGCTGTTGCCTCTGATTAAACAGAGCTTGTATGTCCAGGGCCACCTGCATCTACAAGGCCTAGGAATGGGGAAGATGGTAGGATGAGTGTGGACAGAACAATGAATGATCCACCTGTCCTGCCACCTTCAACTCTCTGGACCAAAACTAAACCAGCCCATGTCTGTCTTCAGCCGCAAATATTCTGGATCCAAGTGCGAACATTCCCTTTTTCATGTGCTTTGTTCTCCTTAGGCCTGTGCACACCGTTGGAAAAATGTCTACTATGAGACTGAGTATATTCTTCCACATGGCTTTTGCAACATCATCCCACCCAATCTAGGCTCCAATGGTAAAAAATTAATCCCTTGCTATGAAGGTAAGGAGTATTTTTATTCTTGCATAGACTCTTAGTTGTGATGGAGCAGTGGTTGTTTATTCATGTCACCAACAGTTAGTGATAATTGTGGCACTCAGTACATTTTAACAGTCTGTCCTCACATTGTATTCCTTTTATATTGTATTATTATTGTTTTTATAATTTAAACTGCAGTGTAAACTATCCTGGGAGAAGTGTGTGTGTTTGTGTATACAGGTAAAGGACAGTATGGAAATACCGGAATAATCTCTTTAGCACCTGCACCCCTGCTTTGCTTCAATAAAAGACTTTAAAAAAAGGAATACCAGGCATTTAGGCTGAATATCAAGCATTTAAAAGCCTAGTGTGGCAGCAATGGGGAAAGATGTCTATCTTTCAGGAAGACTTACCTGGGGACAATTTCAGTCCCACAATACTCAGTAAGGCAGACTTCTAAGAAGCATGTTTGGGATTGTCCTGTTAATCTCCCGTTCTACTGAGTAGCCTTCAAACATTTCCAATCTAGCACTCTCCTTTAGCTGAAACATGCAAGTGTGGGCTTATTTTTTGCTCCTTGTATTTCTGTGGTGTTACCTGCTGCTACAACCCACCTTGTGGGTTTGTCTTTCTTTCCCCTGGTTTGCTATTTGTATTGAAATGGGAAAAGGTGCTGGCTGATCCTTTCATCTTCTTTTCCTGAGGGTTGTGCTTAATACTCGAACTCTCTTGACAAGGCGGATTCCTTTTGTCAGAGAGTTGGATTTAGTTTGGATGGAGCTTATCTATGGGCACATCTTTTCATGCACAGATTTTCCAGCTCTCGGGTTTCTTCCAAAGCCAGAACAGGTCAGTAACAATGGAGGAGTTGAGAGAACACTCAGCATAAAACTGGCTGAGCTGAACTGGATTTTAGCTTGGTGACTGATGATGTGGTTAAACCTTCTTTTCATGTGTCAACTGAATACATTACATTATAATATAAAATTGAGTTTTAGGGAGGAAAACATGGCATGGAGACTGTAAGAGTTTATACTTTGGAGAATTAAGAAAATTAACAATTGTTTGGGGGAAATTTGGGTAGTTCTTGCTTTCCCAAATGGAGCTGTGAATCCAGCCCATCTCTAATAAAATGAAATTACAAAATCTTCCCACTTTGAAGATTGTCTTAGTTTCTTTTTCCTTTCTGATGGCAGGATCAGTCTTGAGGGACTGAGAAAATTCATGCGCATCATGCAGTATTTTCTTTTCATTAGACACTCAGATTCCCAGATAGAAGCACATCACCTGTCTCTGTGTGTGTGTGTGTGTGTGTGTGTTTTGTCCTCTTTGGGACGCATCACCAATTTTGAAGAAAAATGCTTCAGCAACTAGATATCAGTCAGGGATTGCTGTAAAAATAGAAGTGCGTAGACCCAAAGGCTGTGAAGCGGCCAGTGGAAAATTGACAGTTTTGGTAAGGCCTGCTATGCATTGTATCATGCTACAAACTGGAAAGTCAGAGGGTTGATCACTTTGTCTGCCAGCTGGCAAATTCCACTGTCACATGGGGTGACCAAGTTTACTTTTGGTGAACTCTGTAACTTTCAGCTTTTACATGCAGTTAATTAACTTGGTTTTCCACTGAAATGATGGCTGCAATCCACTTCTCAGAAGGAGCCATGGTTTGAAATTGACTGGGATCCTCCCTTCCTTTAATAATCCCTATCAAATGCACCCTCCAGGAAGAAACAATGAAATCCTTGGCTGGGAGTCTCCCTCTAAAGAAGGGACAAATGGAAATCAAGGGTGGGACAGAACCAGTGGAGGAAGCAGCTGACTCCAAAACAGTTGTCCAGTAATCGCTAAATGGAAGTTTTTGAATTAGTCAGATTTTTGTGCACTGTTTCCATTGGTAACAAATTTTAGGATTGGTATGAGGTATTGTCATGGCCGTATGGGTCTCCAAGGCCATATGGGTCAGATTCAGGAAAAATCTCCTCTTAGGGAAACAGTGTCTAAAGGGCCACCAGATATTTGAATCCCCAGCCCTGAGGCTACAGATAGTGTTCTGAAAGCATCTTAGGGGACCGGGATAGGAGGAGTCTGGAGAGGCCAGAATATGAACTTCCCAGCTTCACTTCCTCCCATCCAGCATGGTCCAGAACGCAGGGAAGGAGGATGGGGAGATAAGGATCCCCCCACTGCTCCTCCTGCTCAATGTGCAATGACCGTAGGATTCTCAGTTTGGGTAGGCATCATGATAGGACATCTATGAGGTATAAGGAGCAGGGCATTTAGGACATCTCTAAAGTCATGCCATAGCTTCCACCTCCACAGTCACTGTCCGCACAGAATTCATGCATCAGAGAGGCACTGATTTTCATGAATATACATCACGTGATTTACAACCCTGATTACCCAGGGGCCTAAATCATGTGGGGGCCTCCATCAGCCCTGTGGAGTCCCCATCCACACACTCCAGAAGTTCTGGAGAACATGATGATGGCAGAGATGAGGGTTATGATTCTAGGAATGGAAGTAAGCATGCAGACCCACTGTCCTTTTTTCCAAATCAGCAGAATGGTAAACATAATTTTGCATCCATACTGAGGTGTGCATTCCCTCAGTGAATTGTGGGTGCATAGGAGCGTCCCATGCTTGTCAACTTGCATGCTCAGGTATGTGTCATGAAGAAGTAGCATTCATTACTGCAGATTTACCAGGTCAGACACTGCTTCCTCCACTGAGTTCTTCCATGTGGACAAGTTTCCAGTGTGTGAACTGGATCATAAGTCAGGAATCTAACCTTGCCATGCAATGCTACCGGTCATTGTTCCAGTTGTAGGCAGGTGTGGCAGGCACTTATCTCCTTGCGCTGCGCCCCAGTAGGCATCCGACTGCCTAGGGAGTTGTCATCAGTTACGACCACACAACATGAGAGTTGTGTGGATCCTGCAAACATTAGTGGAGACCATCTATTATAGAATGACCTTCCGAGAGCAATTCGCCTGGCACCATCATTACATTCTTTTCGGCACCAGGCGAAAACATTCCCATTCTCCAGAAAATAAATTATTAATAAATTATTCAATACTGTTCAGTTTTAAGGCATAGTTTTATATTGTGTCTTAATTTTAATATATTATTTTAATCTATTCATATCCGGCCCGAACCTTCAGCTGCATATTGTGTATTTTGTTGTATATTGTTTATTATTATATGTGTACATGTTCTAGTATAAAATGCGGATTTTACTGTTTCTTGTAATCTGCTTAGAGAGTCCTTGGGACTAATTAACTGCAGAATATAAGTCAAAATGAATGAATGAATGAATGAATGAATGAATGAATGAATGAATATTAGAGGAGGTTGAACTTAAGAGGCAGCCTCTAGTAGGTGAGAGGAAGCCAAGGTAGAGGGACAGGGGGCAAGAAGAGTACAGCTTGCAGTTTAGGCTCTCTGACTGTGGTTGCCAACCACCATGGTATTGGCGAGCCCTGGCCAATCTCTTGGAGGACGCCACTCCTAAAAACGTGTCCCTCCCCAACATCCACCCACTCACAAACACACACAAAAGGTGGCATATGGCCCAGGAAGGATTATATGTCGCTTCTATCCAGGCAGGATAACTGGAAGCCAGTTAGAATATCCTGGAAAGTGGTAGGGAAGTAGTGGCCTGGAATAGGGAAAGTGGCAGGGAACATAATTTTATTCTTACCAGGCCTTGTGGATTAGCGAATGTTTCAAATCATTCACCCAAAGACCCTGCTTCTAATACTGTGGGAATTTGCATTCATTTAACTATTGGCATGGATACTGCTCTTGAGAACTTTACCTCCTTGTGCAGCTGGGAATTGCATAGCCGGGGGTGGGGGTAGGGGGTGACCAGGGCAGGCCAACTCCGTAGTGGGACTGCCTTTTTCCTGCGAGTGAAGGAACAGGGGGAGTTGACAGGAGTTTGCAGGAGACAAAGAAGGAGGTGGATTTGTGGGGTCTGAGCTGAGCTTCTCGTTCAAAGCTCAGTCTCTCTTTGCTTAGGCTGTTGGGTCATCTGAGCAACAGGTTGGCCCCTCTCAAACTGCTTCTCCCTTTTCCAATTTCTGTTTGAAAAGTCAGGTGGAATTTTGGCCAGTAGTTTGCTTGTCTCAGTCAGTTGCTATGAATTCCTGCGGGGTGGAGGGGGTCAGACATATTCCACGCTGGAGTGAGCAAACTGGGAAGCTTAGCACGGGACTGTTCTAAGAGGCAACGATGGGGTGAATTGGTGGGGTTTGAGCTGAGCTTTGTAGCTTGTTTGAAGCTCCCCCTCTGGGCTTAGCCTGCTGGTTCACCAGACTTAGCCTTTTAAAAAAAGAATAACTTGGGAGAGAGCTTTGACTGGTGCTTTACCTGACTCTGAGATATTGTGGGATGTTCTTAGAGACATACAGTTGGTATTTGAGGGATCGATTAATTAATTGAGGGAATGGGTGTGTACAAACTAGAGCATTTTGTCACAGTCATACTGAATGAGCAATAGATACCATTCCGAATGACCTTGTGAATTACATTCTGCGGTGAAGCATTCTTCAACAAAAGGAGGCCTGGACAGAATATGACATTCCTTTATCTCCTCCTGCTACTTCACAAAAAAAGTTTAGTTTTAGTAAACAAATACAAATTTGTTCTTTGCAAAGTTTGCCTAGCCGTATAAATAATTCATGATATGGCTTAGCGGAGACATGCTGGAGGTCCAAGTTTAGTTGCCTTTTTTCTCCGAATGTCATATGTACTTTCCCAATAATTAGTTTTCTGTAATTGTTGTGGGGTGGGTGAAGGGACAGCCTTAACACAGAACAGCTGCTGCTTGTCCTTTCTGCTGATTTCTCACAGTTCCTTTGGATGTGGCAGTGATGATAGATTGAGCCGAAAGCACAAGATGCACAAGTGGAGGTGGAGGCAACCGTACAGATTTCAAATATTTGTTTTGGTTGCCATACCAATAGAAAGGGATGGCAGTCAGATGACTCTTTGCTTCTGCTCCCCCTGCATCAGTATTTTGTGCCTAGGGCTTTGTGTAACAACAATGCTCAAGGTTGATGATCCAAAATACTCTTTATTAGGATCAAGCAAATTGTGATTAGGGAGTGTGCAAGCTTGCAAGTTCTCCAGGGCTCTGTATTAAACTTGGTAGCACAACACGTGAGGGATGGGAGAAAAGTCAAAACCATAAACCAGAAATGGTGACCACAAGCTCTGGTTTTGCCAGGTTTTAAGAGCCAGAAAAACAAAATCTGTATCATGTTTACAGTAGAGTAGTCATTGGCCTTAGGGCTGGATTACAGTTTCCATTAGGTGCCCTGCACTATTTTTTTTTTTTCCTTTTTAAAGATGTGGCTGGTAGATAGAGATGTAAACTTTGTTTTGGCCCTAAATCACATGGTAGGGTAGAGGAGGCTGGCTGCTGGAGATGTTTATTTCCAATTTGTGGAGGTTTTCAAGGACAACTATAGTTGGGGGTGCAATCAATGTACTTGTCCTCACTTTTCTCTATTACCAGAGCATTTAGAAGGCCTGAAGAAGACTCAAGTGTATTATATTTGGATGCATTTGGTTCTAACCTAAGACTGCCAGTTCTGCCCATTTTGATAATTGTTGGTGTGCTGTCGATTCTCATTTTCAGGTTATCGTCTATTGCATCAGAGACCACACTGAGATTACTTAGCTTTTGTGACCTCAGGTCATTAGAATAGAAGACATACACTTGAATGGTCCAACCCCCAGTTCCATGCAGGATCCAGTCTCCCACCCAGATTCTAACCAGGCCTGATGCAGCTTAGCTTCCAAGATTAGGCAGAATCAGGCACTTCAGGCTATATGCCCTCCTGCCCCCTAAGATCGGCAGCAGAGGCCCCCCTCCGGGAACCCTCTTTGAAAGAGGTCAGGAGGCAGACTATTCGGAGGAGAGTCTTCTCTGCAGTGGTGCCCGGACTATGGAATGCGCTCGCTAGAGAGGTCTACCTGGCGCCGTCGTTATGTGCTTTTCGGTGTCGGGTCAAGACCTTTTTATTTGACCAATATTTTAATATATAGTGTTTTTAATTGTGTTGGATTTATTGAATTTATTTTAAATGGATTAGTTTTATGCTCAGTGTAGAGCAGTTAACTTATTTTATTCAGGATTGAAATATTGTTGTAAGCCATCCAGAGATGACAGTAATGGACATTCTACAAATTTTCTAAATAAATAAATAATAAGTATAGAAGCTCTGTTGAATACTTTCTGATTTATACCATGTTTCTGTTTGTCCTTAAAACAAATCTTAATGATCCAACAAAGTTTTATCTCCTTTATTTGATAGTGGATGCAGGAGATTTCTTAAAAGTGTTGACAGGTTCAGTTATTATTTCGTTTTCTTTCTTTCTTAAATAGAGAGCTTCTGTGGTGAGGTTTATTATTAAGTTCTTGTGGTCTGTTAGACCATGAGGAATAAATTTGGTTTTGAAGAGACAATCTGTAAAATGATACCGTGTACATTCTTTGTAATTTAGCAATAGGTTGGTGGTTGATTCTTCCAGGGTATTACCAAGCTACATGGTGGGTGTTTTCAGAAACCAAACCGCACTGCATTCCCACCCTGAAATCTCAATTAGCCTGGGAATATGTTGCAAGAAGCAGGAAATGAGGTCCTACTGTTCCCCATGGCACACTGATTTGAATGTTAATTTTAGCGATTGCTCATTTGAGTAAAACCGGTCCAGGTTAGAGCTCTGAAAGGACTGGAGATTCTTAGGGCACATCTATGCTGCAGTTTGTTCCAAATTGATTTTTTATTGTGAAATTTAAATCAAACAGAAAAAAAGAAGAGGGAAAAAACACTTTTTAATGACATAAAAGTTAATATATCAGTTTCAGTCCATGCATATGGAATGCATATATACACAAAAATATGGCTTTCTAGCAGTTTTACATAAACTTCAACAGCACTGCAAATTTAAACTGATCTCACATTGGTTTAGCTTTTTTTATTTTCCCTAGCTAAATCTGCAAATTGTAGTGAGAGTATGAAAAAGTACTTAAAAGATACTTTGCTAATTACATCCCTAGCAGAGCTACAATTCCTGGGAAGGCTTGGGCAGTAGTAACAACCTTTAGCATGTTTGAACTTTGGTTTAAATGTGTAGCATGGATGTACCCCAAGTTTCTGAAACTCATTGCAAGGCAAGTTGAAATTAAGGAGAACATTAAATTAAAGAAACCACTGGAATAAAATAATTGCCATGGGAAGCTTATTGGATATATCAGGCAGGAAGCTAGACAGTAATTGTATTCTATCTATAATGAGAACATGTAATACCACCCAGATACAACTAAGTGCAGTGCCACCTAGTTACTAAACAATATATGACACAGTTTTTATCTCTGTTTAGTTAGTTAGAAATGACGTAACCCCCTCTTTCATGGTTCTCTGTCCAGAAGAGCTTACCTGCTCCAGTGCCCTGCTGGCACGGGACCATGGAGGGAAGGGAAAACCTAAGGTGAGAAAGCAAAGGGGAAACTGGGAGAAGGCATAACCAGGGATTAATAGGAACAGATGCAGCGAAGTGGTTCAGCTTCGTCATGCTTGGGGACCAGCCAAAGGGTTTAGCTAGTTATCCTTTGATCAGTATTTTAATTAAGCCACTGCAAGTAAATCCTCAAGCCTCTGTTCACATCCAGCCTTTATCATGCTTGAGATTTCTGACTGGACTTTTACCCTAGATAGTGCGGTTTGTTTACTTCTGATTTAGAGGGATTGTTATACTGTTGCTTCCCCTTTGGTGCTCAGTTTTGACAATACCCATGCACTGTGGCAGAGGAGCCCGGTTTCCCAACGTTCCCTAAATCCCAGAGCTTTCGCAATATTGGCTCTGCTGTGGGCCTCCTGCAACTTGGCACCAAGCCACACATGTGGAATACAATGTGCGTGTGTGTTTGTGTGTGGGGGCTGTGCAACTATGAACCATGTGCATCTGGCAGGGACTGATGTGACGATGTCTCCCCCCCCCCCTTTATTTCTTCTTTGTGTTAGAGTATAAGAAGAAATACGGTGAAGAACATGGCTCGTGCCAGGCTGGAATAGCCGGCTTCTTCTCAGAGGTGAGCAGTGGAGTTTTGGAGAGAAGTTCAAGGCTTCTGCATGGTGTACTCTAAAGGGTCTTTGAACAGAGAAGCATCCCTTTGGTCCTTCTAAGTTCAGCCATGCTCTTTCCTCATGTTGATATAGTCTTTGATCCTATGGCTCCGAATATATGCTGCTGTGTAGGACTCTGTGTGATTCACATCAATACCATGCACACCAGCTGCACTTCAGTGTTGCACCTTTTCCCTCACCTCCAGCATATCCAGAGAGAGTACTGGAAGCTGCTTTGCAGCAGCCAGGACCTCCAGGGACAACTCCCAAGGGCCAGATGATGTTACAGAACAATCTCCTCCTTGTCAAATCACTACTCCCAAAGTCCTGTCCTGACTTTGCCTGGCCTTCTTTCCCTGCACCCTGAGAGGCGTAGGCGTTGCTCCACGCCTCGCTCACCAAAGAAAAAGGACTCAGCTGGGGAAATGTTTCTGCTAGCCTATGGCTGAATATAATTCTGGCTTTCCTTGTTCTTTGTGTTTCTCCAGGTAATACCCGTCACTTCCATGTGTATGCGCTGTTGAAGAACGATGCAGTGGGCCCATATTGTGCACTTGAAATGGACGGGACCGAGTGCATGCTGCAGTTCCATTCCCTAATCACACTGTGTCAAACCAGAGACATTTCAATGTTTTGAAAGATGGCTTTCTTTCTTAAATCCCTCAAGCTCTGTATCATTAGTTGCTGTGGATATGGGGTGGAGAAGTGCAGGCCATGCATTCATTTCATCACTGCCAATGATTAGGGGTAGGACTCTAACCCTGTGTAGATTGTAGGCTTTACAGATTGAATGTTCTAGGTTCAAGCTCTGAAATTTCCAGTTTTTAAAGGAAAGTTTCAGGTAGCACTGGGGTGAGCAGAAAGTCGTAGCTCTCCAGCTGTCTTGGTCTTCACCTCCCAGTTTTTCTGACCATTGGTCATGCTGGCAGGGGCTTCTGGGAACTGGAGTCCAGAACATCTGGAGATCTACCTTCTGTTCAGCCCTGAGGTGGTAGGTAAGGCTGTTGGAGAAATCTGTAGTAGATTCCAGTTAGTTCAGATTTATATGAATTTGACCTGTGGGTTCCACAGTGGCCTATTTTTTCTTCTTAGCTGCACAGATTCTGTGGTCTTGAGGACCAGTTTTTCAAAGTTTCCCTAATTTTATGCAAAGTTAGTTGATAAAAAAAAATAAAAAATGCAAAACATAAAAAAATACTAACCAAAATACACCTTCCTCTTATGTGCAAAATGAACATATCCATTTTGGAGGGAATTCACACACTTTGGAAATGGAGAGTTGCATCAGTGTAAATTTGCACACGTGTGCAAACACATTTGCCCCAAATCCAGTTCTGTCAGTGAGCAGGCTATGGGGCAAAATTTGCACGACAGTTTGTGCAATACAGATAGAACAGATTTAACAAAGTTCTCACACCCCCAGTGCTGAGTGATACGAAAGACTTCTGTTGGAGAGCTGCTTCCAGGCACATTAGACAAGACTGGGCTGGATGGGTGAATAAGAACAGAACTGACCTTTATGAGAACACAACGCTAGACATTGGCCACTGTTTTTGGTGGCAGCCATGTGGTTTTGATTGTGTCCATTTCTACCTTAGCCAAAAATGGAAGGGAAAGTACCTGGGGTACATTTTCAAGCCTACTTTCTATTTGGCCCAAAAGAAGTACTCATTCTGGATCATCTAAATAAAGTTTTTGCAGCAACATTCAGATAGTCCGGTGGGATCTTCCCAGGTTAATCTGAAATGGGTGGCAACCTTTGTGATAAAGCATTTGATCACAGGAGCTGTGTCAGCAGCAGCTGCTTCCTGGCTTGTCTGCTATATCACACAGGCTTTGTTTCCCATGCTCTGAATCCTCGTTGCCTATTCTCCATTCAAAAGGTGGCTTTGAACTTTGAGCTTCAGCCACTACAGAATGAGCAGGAAACATAGACAAATGGGTTCTGGGTCAAATGGGCAAGAGCCTAATATATGAGCACTCAGCCCTGCTAACGTACTCTGTCCTCTACTGTGAGACGGGTCAGTGGGTTGTCCCTAAGGGACAGCCACTGACAGAAATAATGCATGTTTACTACAGACATAGATATTCAGCTGGCTGCTATAACTTCTCTGCTTACCTATATTGCAATAGGCATGTCATGAGATCCAGGTCTGCTGGAGGAGAAAGAGGCAGTGCCATATGCCCAGAATTTCTGAGATGAATTTTGTGAGTGCCCATTGTAGATGGCCTAGGAGGAGTTTTGTGGATGGACACATATTTAAAGAAAAGCCTCAGAAAAGTGGCAGGATATATTTGTTTGCTGCTATGCCTCTGTTCACTGTATGCGCCATAGATTTGCACCTAAGCTAACTTGGTCTTTTTTGTAGCAATTTGCAGCTGACTTTCAGTGGCCAAGCCATAAGTGTTATTTCTTTCATTGCCAGCAGGGCTGTAGTACCAAATACCAGGAAGTAGCCATGTGCACGTGGGCAGCACATACACTCTGGAGGACCCTCCCAAGTGTGGCTCGAGAGGCAGCAACAGTAGTAACTTCTAGGCACGCTTGCCACTTGCCTGTTCACACAGGGTTTCTCTGACCTGTTAGAGGGACTGTTCCTATTCTGTTGTTCTGTTAGTATTGTAAGGTTTTTAAATCCTTTAAAATGTTTTAGATGGGGAGGGGGGCTTCTCTCTTTTGCATCCTCTGAGGAGTGTCCAGGTTTTAGGTCTGGGCAAGGCTGAACCCTGAAAGTGGGCCAATTCATTTCCCACAAATCTTTGCCTTTTTGAGGTCCCTTCAAACACTAATATCGAAGCGTGTAGTAAACACAAACCCTGGTCTTGGTCAATTTTACTGTGGACCGCCTGGTTCTACGGTAGATAACAAGTTGGAGAAATGCCAGGTAAACTGATGTCAGGAAGTGTTGGACCTGTGTGTGAACCATGGAATTGCAGGCAACAGCTTCTCAGAAAAGTACTTTCAGGTCCTGCACTGCCTGCACCCACCAAGTTTTGCAGTTAATCCTCTTGGGCAGGGGTCGGCAACCTTAAAAATACAAAGAGCCATTTGGACCCTTTTCCCACAGAAAAGAAAACACCGGGAGCCACAAAACTTTTTTGACATCTAAAATGAAGATAACACCGCATATATCGTTTTTTACCTTAAAAAAAACTGGTAAACCAGTCTCGTCAGCAGTGAAAGCAAATGAATCTGCCCACGTAAAATTAAATGTTCTGTTTTCTTCTGAAACTTTTCTTTTCTTGGATTTATCCATGATTGGCCTACTGGGGGTCGGAAAGCTCAATAATCGCATGCCGGCAGGTGTCGCACATTGGCGGTTGTGACGCATATTTTGAGCGACAGGGAGGCACAGCAGAGGGATGAAAGAGCCACAAGCAGCTCCGGAGCTGCGGGTTGCTGACCCCTGCCCTTGGAGAAGAACGCATGTGAAGGCTTGTTGTTGCAGCTGAACCTTGTTTGAGTAGGAAGGTCTTCCAGAACTGTGGTATCCTCCTGTAGTATTTACCTTTCTCTCTGTTGTGCCTGAAGCCCCGACAGAGGCAGCTACTCACGAGGAGGTCTTGTGCTTGGGACCCTGTACCCGAATGTCAACCCCACAACCTAGCTTGGGGGTGGCTGAACAAATAGCTGTACCTCATCCTGACCCTCCGCCCATTGAGCAAACACCTGAGCTTACATCAAAGCAAGAGAGTCCCGAGGGAAAAGACACTATGAGTTCTGCTCAGAGAGAGTTTGAGCAGACTGCCCCACCTCCTCCTGACGCTGAGCTTCCTGAGCACGACACAGGAGACGAAGGGGGCGGGATAGACTTTTCCCTAGCAACCAGTTGGAGAATTCTGAGGAGGTGGGAACAAAGGCAAGCCTTGTTACGCCTCAGAGAGGAAAGGCGGGGCCAAGATAGCTAGTCCCAAGTGGGCTCGGGGAGAGACCTCACTAAAGGATTAGCATCTGCATTGCAAAGACCTCAACAGTAGAGCTTATCTGTAGAGTTGTAAATCTTGTAGATAAGTAGCAATAAAGACTTTAGTTTTATTGCTTGTGAACGTGTGGGTTGTTTACATGTTGAGCGCCATCTCAATCCTGATGTCTACTTTGTTCCACATCCTTGCCACTTAGTTTGGCCTTCAGTCCCGAGTAATTCTATGGTCTTGACCACAACCCGCTGCCATGGCTTCTGGTTTTCATCTCACCTGTTGCCCTGGCAACCAACTACCCTTCTTTGGTTTTAACTAGAGGTGGGTTCACCTAGAGGAATATTGCGTTTTCCAAGGACAAAAAAGAAAGGAAAAAGTGCTTCTTCTCAAATCTCTGGATAGAAGGCTTAAATGCCCAACGTGACTCTGTTGGTGATGATGGTTTTGCTAAAACAAGATCCGTACTTCTCCCTTTATGTTTCTTAATCTGCCAGTCACTTTTGTTTCATTTTTTAGTACTGCTCCCAACTAGAAATATTTTAAGTGCTAAGTAAAAATTAAATATTTATACTATTACTTTATATATGCATAATTCACATAGTATTTGCTATGCTGGCATAATTGCGTACATCCCTTTAAGGCCCAGTCCAGTGAGGTTGTCCATAGCCCTCTGAACTTGGAGCCAGTTTGGCCATCTAAATGCACAGCCTTGGACAAGAAGGAGTGTGTGGCACCACACAATGGTTCATGTGCTGGTGGAGCTTGTCTCTTCTGCTCTGACCCCCAAAAGACCACCTTGGGCAAGTGGTAGCTGGTGTGGTCCTTTCTGTGCTGGCTGCAAAGGCATTCTGGATTTGGAATTCCAGCTCCAACCTTGGACCTGAAACTCTGAAAAATCTTATGGCTGTCCAGAATTTATCTAGTGGCCATAGGCTGGTGCCACCAATGTTTTTAAAGTTTAAATAACTAACTTATTTCAGTCTCTCTTAATTTTTCCTTCAGTGCATTACTTCAGTATTCTAGCAATTTAAATTTCTGGTCTTATGCACAACTGAGAAGCCTCAAACATTTTAATTGTGCAGTTTTAGCATGACAAAACTTTTCTTTTGTAGGAACTCGTCGTCATGGGAGCTCCAGGATCTTACTACTGGACAGGAACCATCAAAGTACTGAATCTCACTGATAACACTTATTTCAAACTGAATGATGAATCCGTGATAGCCAAGCGGTACACATACCTTGGTAAGTGATGCTTAATTCCCACCCATTTTTAGTCTCATAACTTGATTATAATCTGGACTTTCTTGGATATTGCTTTTTACTCTGGCAAGAAGTATGCATATGAATCTATAAATGTCTGATTACTTTAGGCAAATAGTCTAAAGCAATACATTCTGGGGATCCTGTGCAAGCTTGGGCAGCAATATTAAGCAGTGAGTCAGACTTACGTACCACTACTGACCTCCTGCAGTGATAGAATGAGAAGGGAGTATCAGATGTCTTCCGGGGTATTCTCTCAACTTCCATCAAGAATGTTGTGGCCAGAAAGCCACACAAGTTGGGCATGTGTCTCAGAATCTTATGCAAAGTGCAGGAATACCTCAGCAGACCAGTGTGGAAGGACTAACAAAAGGCAGAACATTTGAAAATGATGAAACTATAGGTTGGGGTGTAATTTTTCTACTCTGAGAATTTGTGAAGCTTAGCTTCCATGTTATGTTAAGCAATCAATTTTAAATATTGTAGCTTTCTTCTCCTGTATCCTGGGGATTTTAATTCTTTGAGACCCATGTAGGAGTATATGTAGCCATCTTGCGTTGGATGTTGGAGGAAGAATGGGGTATAAATGTAATAAATCAAAATTTAAAAAAGAAAATGCAGAGAATGCTGTAAGATAAATATTGTCGATCTAATGGTTCATATCCAGTCCCTGGTGACCATTTATTCTGATTATGGAAATATTGACAGACAGATGTCCATTTGAATGCTTTTAAAAACTGGAAACCTCTTTTCTTCAGCCTACTCTCCCTGTTTGCTTGTTTAAAACCCACTTAGTGAAAGCCACTTGAGAATTGCTAAATGAGAGATGGGTGCATGTACTGAGGCTTTCCATTTGGGTAGAACTGAAAACCCATGTTAGCATGCAGATAACTTGCACATAGCATGCAGATAATAACCATGCAGCTTCCATATAGCCTGCAGTGCCTGGTCCTACCTAATCTTGGAAGATAAGCAGGGTCAGGCCTGGTTGAAATCTGGATGGGTGACTTCAAATGTTGTGAACCTCCCAGAGAGCTTTGGCTACAGGAGGTATAGGAATGGATTCCAGTAGTAGTAGTAGTAGTAGTAGTAGTAGTAGTAGTAGTAATACACCCATAATTCATAGCACAGAGAGGGAGAGGAGGCTCTGAAGTACAGAATGGAAAAAGAGCTTTACAGGAAAAAGAACTCAACCTTTTCTGCTGCAGAAACTTCCTATCTTGTACCATATTTAGACCAACCTGTAGGACAATGCCATTGACCTCTCTTTCAAATAAAGTTTGCCCATTTGATGTGTACGTCTATTAAAACATTCTTTCCCAAGTAGAGTTCTTGATAAAGCATCACCTTGGATCCTTCCCTGTCCCTTTTCCTTAGTTTTTTCCAAGAAAGTTTGGCATACCAGTCATGGGAAAGAGCCTCGCAAAGGCACATCTAGCCCAGCATGCCTATCCTGCACTGGCCAACCAGATCCTCATGGGTAGCCCACAAGGGAGATGTGAATGTAGCAGCACCTTGCTGCTCATATTCCCCAGGAGATGGAAGTGGGAGGCACCACCTCTAACATTGGGGTAGCTTATCGCTATCATGACTGCTGGCCACTGACAGCCCTGTCCTGCACGAATGTCCAGTCCCCTGTTAAAGCTATCCAGTTTTGAAGCCATCGCTACCTCTTGTGGTTGTGGTTTCCATGCTTTAGCTAGTGCACTCTGTGGTTCTACTTTTCGGCAACTAAGTGAACATACTTTGGTGTAAAGGGAAGCTGTCTCTCAAGTGAGCCTGAAAAATAGTTTCTCCCACACAGATAAGTCTGTCATTCCTCTGGTTGTTTGCACTTTCTGTTTTAGTGCTTCTCTTCTTTCCTGTGAATTCTGTCCCTTAGTTCCTTTCTAAACCAGGCTATTTTCTGGCTCAAGCTTTTGCCGTGGCCTGCAAAGCTTCTGTCTACAGTTCCATTATCTTGTCTTTGAGAATACAGTTAGTTCCTTGTTGTCATTTCCCCTCTTGAATAGAATGCCAGCAAGTTCTGAAGAAGCAGGCCTCTTGTGCTCTTGGGTTTTTCTTTCCTAAGAGGCTAATTTATTTGCCCTCTAGGAGAAGGGAAATACTAATCTTACCTTCATCCAGATGGCCAACTTGTTCCTTGGATTGGTTTCCTTTTCTGAACATGTTTGTCATTTCTTTCCTCCGGTCGCCCTGATTGTCCACCCTAAAAATATTCCCCTCAGGATATGCAGTGACAGCGGGTCATTTCTCTCAGCTGACAACCACGGACGTCGTGGGTGGAGCTCCCCAGGATGGAGGTGTCGGAAAGGTATGGCTTGTATACTAATAATGTGGTGATGTTTGATGTTTCATTTCCTGGAAGAAAGGATGAACACAAGAGGGTTGTACTAATTTCAGCAAAATCCCTGGGAAGTGTTTACATGTATACCTCGGAGATATTGCAGGTTCCATTTCAGACCTCTGCAATAAAGCAGATAACACAATAAAGCAAGCCACACAAATTTGTTGGTTCCCAATACATATAAAAGTTATGTTTACTCTATACTGTGATCTATTAAGTATGTGATAGCATTATGTCTAAAAAAAATACATGCCTTAGTTAAAAAATACTTTAAAGCTAAAAAAATACTAACCATCATCTGAGCCTTCAGCGAGTTGTAATCTTTTGGCTGGTGGAGTGTTTTGCCTTGATGCTGATGGCTGCTGAGAGATTGGGGTGGTAGTTACTGAAGGTTGGACTAGCTGTGGAAATTCCTTAAAATAAGACAACAGTGAAGTTTGCTACATCAATTGACTCTTCCTTTCACTAAAGTTCTCTCTGTAGTATGCGATGCTGCTTGATAGCATTTTACCCCCAGCAGATTTTCTTTCAAAATTGGGAGTCAATAATGTTTCTAAGTTATCATCAGCTTTGGTTTGTTGCAAACACTGCCAACTCCCCCTTCCCTTCAACTTGCTTCCACAATGAGGCTTTTATTATGCGATTGGCTAGCATCATTCGTAGTGTTTTACATGGCTCTCAGAAATGGTTGACTTCCCTTTATAATGCTCCCATAGCTTCACATTGCTTCTTCCATCATATTTCTTATCAGGAAAAAAATCCATGACAAGTAAAAGATGTAGTTTGCTACATTAGCCTTTTTTATTGCTAGCATCCAATGTTCTGTGTTTATAAGCACTTTTAAATGTAGGAGTAAATTACCCAGAGACATAGATCAAAGTCCTACTTCACAAAACAATAATTTGGGACAGAATTAAATTACTTTGTATTTTTTTCTTCAACTTTATAGGTATACATTTTCCGCACTGATAAGAGATCTGGTTCCTTAATAAAGATTTTTCAGGCATCGGGTAAAAAGGTGAGTAATTCTTAAACAAAAAAGACTGGTAGTTTTCACTTTCTTTAGAATAAATAGCTACTTTTTCTCAGTGCTTCTCACTAATTCTGATCCTGCCTCCTCACATACATATGTTTTGATAGCCAGTATGGTATATCAGTTCAGAGTACTGGATTGGGACTCAGGAAATCTGGGTTCTAGTCCCCAGTTAGCCATGAAATCCACTGGGTGACTTTGGGCCAGTCACTGCCTCTCAGCCTAACCTATCCAGAGAGTTGTTGAAAGGATAAAATGGAAAGGGGAACTTTATTAGCTGCCCTGGATTCTTTGCAAGAAGAAGAAAGTGGGATATAAATACAGTATAAGAGTAACATGTTTTAAGATCACACCTTTTGTTGAAGTATGGGCTAGGGCCAAGCCACATTACATTAAACATGTAGCCATCACCTACAAAGTTTTTTCATTTTTATTCTAGAGTAGATACAGAAGGCACATCTAGACTGAGACTCCAATATTGAGGGTAAGGGAAGTTTAACCCTCCATGCTGATATTCCAGCTTGGATTAAAACCCCTTTCCATGAGTGCAACCTGCATCTTTAAATAGTAATCACTTTTCCTGAAAGGTTCACTGATTGTCACTATAATTTGCAGGTGTACCCTGTGCTCTAAATCAAGATAGTATGGGGGTAGAGGTTAAAGATCTTCACTCCTCTTCCTCCTCAATGTTAGTGACCTGAGAAAAAAATGTGACCCTTTATCTTTATTGTAGTATCAGAAAGGTATAATTGCTAGTTGTATCTTTACAGTAGTATGTGGTTTGGGTCTCCAAGGCATTTTGCTGCCTCTGGAGCCCCTTCTAAATTCAAGTCCATAATACCCAAGACCAGTCAAATCGTTTGCCTCTGAGACAGAAAATCCCAGGTCAAATAATTTATCGGATTAAATGATTATCAGCTTGCTGCCATTTTGTAACACCCCAAATCAACGGTATGAGGTGGCCATCTCACTCTCTTTAATGCAGGCTTGGTCTTAGCTATTTCCTTTGTACACATAATAATTTTCTACATGGATACCTTGTCTGTGCAGGTATATGATAACTTTCAATGTAGGTGGCAGCAAACACATGAAGTTATCTGTGAAAAAAAATCTGTGTATAAAATATCTCTTGGTCCTGTTGTCCAAACTTCTCAAAATATATCAGAAGTAAAAGCTTTTTATTTGTAAAATCTATATGTGAGGTACTTGTAATGAGGTGCTAGAAAATTATGAAAAGCCTGGACATTTTCCAGTGTTCAACAGAAAAGGACCTTGTTTTTCATACATGGGTTTCCATATTAAATTGGGCTTTAGCAATCATCTCCCCCCTTTGGGAAGGGTTCTGAAGGTTATAGGTCAGTGACGGCAAACCTTTTAGAGATGGAGTGCCCAAACTGCAACCCAAAACCCACTTATTTATCGCAAAGTGCCAACACTGTACCTAAATACTGTGGTTTTAGTTTAGAAAAAAACGCTCATATATTAAAATCTTTTGTCTTAAAAGAAAAACACAATAACAGAGCTTTCAGTGATATAAACAGCTTTTTATTGAAAGGTAAATATTTGCATTTTTTAGTCATTTTTTGGTGTTCAAGACTTGGAGTCTACAAAAACACAAAATTAAAAAGAAATGAAGCACCCAATACAAATCTATCCCTATACCAAAAATAGCTAACACTATTAGTTATATAATATATATATATATGCCTGCCCGCCCCTTGAGATCAGCGGGAGAGGCCCTTCTCCGGGAACCCTCCATGAAGGAAATTAGGAAGGTAAGTACTAGGAGGAGGGCTTTCTCTGCGGTGGCGCCCAATCTGTGGAATGCGCTCCCCAGAGAGGTCCGCCTGGCACCGTTGTTATTTGATTTTCAGTGCCAGGTGAAGACCTTTTTATTCAAATGTTATTTTAATTGTTAATATTATTTATTTATTTTATTCTTTGGCCAGGGCGACTTAATTTATACTGTTAAATTATATTGTTTTATATTATGTTATTTATTTATGATTGTGAGCCGCCCCGAGGCTTCGGCGAATGGGGCGGCATACAAGTCCTATAACTAACTAACTAACTAACTAACTAACTAACTAACTAACTAACTAAACTAACTAACACACATAAAGAATTGGTATTCCCTGAATCAACAATCTTCGGCAGTGATTCTCAGCTGGGGTTCCTCTTGAATTTGCTGATCAGCAGCGCAAGGGGACAATGTTCCACTGACCACCAGCGCAAGGGGGCAGTGTTCCACTGACCAGCAGCTTTTGGCCTGCTCTGAAAAAGGCATCTGAGTGCATTTTCTACCTTGTGGGGGCTTCTGCTAAAATCATAGCCAGTCCAAGCAAATATATATATCCTTGCTCTTGTTTTCATAAACTCTTCACAAACAACTAAATATGATGCTGCAGATTCAAATATGCCAGGGGGACAGCACAACATTAAAAGAATCTCAGTTTCTTAATTAGAATACCTCTTTGCTAAATCTTAGATATTCAATTTCAGTGTTTCATAAGAAAATTCAAAGCTAAAATCTTGCGTTAAAAACGAATGTATTAAAACTCACAGCCAGTCCAAGCAAATATATGTATCTCGTTGGCAGCACACTGACCGGCCATGTGTAAACTCAGACAAGTCGTGGCTAATGAGTTGCGGCTTGTGATGTCATTACCTGGTGCCACTTCTCCTTTCCGAGCATGCGCATGGCTCCTGTGTGCGCTGTTATCCGATGCTCAGCTGCTGGGGCAATGCTGGGGCGACTTGGCTCGCATGCTGACAGAGAGGGCTCTGCGTGCCACCACTGTTGTAGGTGATTCAACAGGCATGCAAAGATAAGCAGTCTATATCCGAGAATGTCTCTGATAGGGATGGATGAATCTGCCAATAATTTCAGATTATTTCACTTTCTCATTCTTCAATTCTTAAGTTTGGTTTGTCTTGAACTTTGAAATTCCTCATTCTTCAATTCTTAAGTTTGGTTTGTCTTGAACTTTGAAATTCCTCATTCTTAAATTCTGTCAACCTGAACTTTGAAGTTTTTTTTTTCAAAAAGTTCACATGAAAATTCAAAAGCATTATCAAGCATATTTTCCTTTTATTTGCATTTTGGCCTAATATACATATTTTTATACCTCTTCCTAATATGGTGCATTTTTACTGTCATTTCCCCTAATATTCACATTTTATACATATCTTCGAATTAAGGGATTCCATTGTGAAACTTGAAGGGCAAATTTTGAAGTATAGCTGCGCTTTAGCTTGCATAGTGGCTGGAAAGTGCAAAGTTAGGTAGCTTGGCATTCCTTCCCCATCCCTAGTCTTTGAGCCTTCAGTTGCTCAGGCTGAGGATCATGGCCAGAGTCTGAGTTTTCAGAGGATCTGGTGAAGCCAATTGGCCCTTTGTGGCTTGTGGCACTTGCTGAGTTGGTACGCTCAAGGCCACTCTCTGGCCATACACTGGAGTTCCGCTGTAGTGCCGCACAGGCCACGTTAGTGACCTGGGCTGCCTTGTCTTTGAGTGTCCAGCAGGGGCCACTGACACAAGCCCCTGTGGAGTTGCTCCCCTTTTCACCATTGCAAGTGTGTTGTTCTCCTGCCTCCTTGCTCTGACTCTGTTGAGTGACGCTGTCGAGAAGGAAGAGCGATCGATAGGGTTGGGATTTGGGCTACTCTGGTGGCCAGAACTAGAGCAACCTCCACCAGATTCACAGGATCGGTCCCAGGGCCGGCTGGAGTGCTCAGTCCCCTGATGAGCGCTGGCTGGGAGTCCTGTGGGGAGAGCTATGGGTGAGCAAGCTCTTCCCTCCAGCACTGGCCTCAGTAGCACAGGTCCTCTCGCTAGTTGTCGTGCCTGCATCCTGCCTGGCTGTTCCTTCTCCTGTCTTGCCGTGTCTCTTGCATCTTGCTGTGTTGCCTCAGCATCACAGGTCTCTCTGCTTGATGTTGTACATGGTCTGTATCCTGCCTTGCTGTTTGTGTCCTGCCTTGCTGTGTATCCCATCCAAAGTAGCTGCACCTCTGCTTGTCCTCCTGGTTCTTGACCCTTGGCTTGTTCCTGACTACATCCTTGTTCTGCCTGAAAAGTACATCTGGTTCCTGACCCTACAACTTGGACTTTGCAATTGGACTTGCCATTAAACCTTACCTTTGGACTCTGTCTCAGCTCAAGTTCAGTTGCCCTGGTTCTGGTGCCCCTGTCTCGTCTCTGGCTGCCCATGTCCCAACCCGCACCCAGACAGTCTCTCAACTTGCTCACTGGCAGTCAAGCAAGCAAGTAATTACAACCAAAAGGGGGGAGGAGGAGCAACTGCCTGTAACAAATGTGATGAGAAGGTTGATTCACCAAGTCAGGGGCCCTGGAGTGTGTCTTGCTCCAGTTGCCTCAAGAACCTGGAGCCAGTACTACCAGCGGCTTGTTTTTCTGAAAGGCCACCGTTATAGCACCTAAAGTCAGGTACGTGACTGTTGCTTCCACAGCTTTCACTGCTAAAGACTCCTAGTTCCTTTTAGGAAATTGGAAACCATATGCAAGCGAATGGTGCCAGATGTGAAAAGCAAATTGTTTAGGTTCTCACAGTTGTACCAGGTCGCCCACGCTGCACAATAATGTTGCATTTGGGTAAACAATAGCCTTTTCCCCTCCGAGGTTGTCTAAATCTACAGTGACATATTTATGTATCCAGTAACAATCTACAGTCACTGCTTTAAAAAATGAAACCTCTAACAATGCTCTATGGAAGTCTTATAAAAAAAGAAGAGTCCAGAAGAGGGGAAAATGCTAAATGTTCGATCATCAACTCATGAAAGCAAGCAAATTAGAGATCTAAGCTGATAGCTTGTAGGCAGCTCGTAGGCAGCGCCTGTGATTTTTCTGGACTCAAAGATTTAGTTTCTTGCCATGCGGATAGGAGTGGCTGCTGCTGTGTCACTGATGTCATGCATTGGCTGGAGCCCTTGGCTCATCTTGGTCAGACCAGCTGAGTGATCACATTGAGGATGGGAGGGAAACACAACTATCCAGGCAGTGCACGAGGTGTAGTAAATGATGTTAGTGTAAGCAGTTTTCTGCAATGCTTTGATGTCACTTTTGCTTCTGAAGCAAATTCTATTGAATAGTAAATTCAAGATGGTCAGATGTGCATGCAGTTTGGCACCAGATGAGTGGCAAGTAGTTCTAATTTCTATTGTTGAATAAAGAAAAAAGCTAGTGAGTGTGTGTGTTTTGTGGCAAAACTCCAGAGCTAATGTAAGCATTCAGGGCACATTTTCCTAGTATGACTGTCACATGGAAATTGTGCTTAATGCATCCACATGGTAATTATCACAAGCGATAATTTGTGAAAGTCTTTCAGCCTGTAGTGTGGAGAAATTCCATGCAAAAAACACATCCTTCAAGCTTGAGAATTCTCCATGTGCTAGGTCTAATTGACATGACTGGGGACTGTTGCATCAAGCCATCCCTTTGATAGAAAATTAAGAAATGGGCTCTCATTCATTTGCTTTCTGCCATCTTTATACCTTTTAGTTAAATTGGAAAGCCACAAAAGCAGTTTTAGGTGGACTTTTGAACTGATGAAAGACTATCACCATCAGTTTTCAGGGATCTAGTTTTCAAATCCATTAAAGCACAGCAAGGACATCAAGATGTCCCTAGATGTATTAGCTTGACTTTTGGTACATGGTGCTGAAAAGGTGCTGACAAAGGCATGAGCTCTTCCTCTTCCTCTTCTTCAACAATTGTCCCAGCAGGCCACAAGCAGCGTCAACCCAAAGAAACTTCTTAGTGCCAGTGGTGTGAGATAAAGTAACCAGTTGTGATTTCAATTACATATGAAGAAAAACATAAATGATTTCCTCTTGTGTGTGGGCAGATACTGAATGCTTTGTTGTGACTCGGCTTGGTTACAGATGGGCTCTTACTTTGGCTCCTCCTTATGTGCAGTTGATTTGAATTCTGATGGACTTTCAGACCTCCTGGTGGGAGCGCCCATGTTTTCTGAAATCCGGGATGAAGGTCAAGTCACCATCTACCTCAGCCGAGGAAATGTGAGTATGGGAAAGAACTGAGCAAATAACCTGGCAAAATCCTTTGAATGGTCAGCTTGGATCAGCTGCATGGAATCATGCAAGTATTTCTGGAGGGCACTGAGCCAAGAGGGGCTGCTTGCCCATTTCTGTCCAAGGTGACATGGGCTTATGTATATGGGGATCCCATTGTTTTATACAGTAGCTCCGAACAGCTAAGGATATGCAAGAGATAGGGATGGCATAATTCTGGGCTGAGCACAGGCTCATTTAGGATTTATTTCCCACTGAAAGAGCTTCTGGGGCTTGAACGAAGAAGCTGAGAGTCTGAGGCCAGGACTAAGCAAGGTTTGCTGCCATGAACAGTGTGTGCTCATCAGAGGCAGAAGGGAGTTGGGCTCCTGTGGTTGGAGACAGTGCAAAGCCTGCAGGTTGTCCATACTTGACATGGATAATGGAAGCCTGGCCTCTTGGCTTTGCTTACTCAAGCTCCAGCTTTTCCAGCTCAAGCTGCTGACTTCAAGAGTCTTGCGCTAGAGAACCTGTTCTCCCAGTCTAGATTAGAATAGGTTCATGCCTGGTTCTCATACCTCCTGCAACTGAAACTTGCATCGTACACACACGTAGCAATCATTATTGGTCCACATGATGGAAGCAGCATTAGCTGACAGAGAATGGCACTTACTGGGGGAACTCGCATGTGATCACACATCAAAGGTATGGCTGGTGCAGTGCAGTCTGTTTGCTTATCCTTTTGCACCAACAGGTAAACCAGAAGGGTTTGTGCGATGTCTTAACCTAGGGTTATGGTTAAGTTTTCTCAAACAAATCAGGATTTTCAACCGAGCATTAACAGGGTTTGCATAATCTAGCAGGGTTTGTTTGATCGAGGGCTTGCTTATTCACATCATGGTTTATTTAGTCATATTTTTATTGTTTTCTTCCATGCTCTGTATTGAGAAAGTGACTCCCAGTGCTGATCCAGTTAATGAATTCTAATGTAGCATCATTGCTTTAAATATGGTGCATATGGTAGGCATGTTTTGAGCAGAGCCGGGTAGAGCTGAGGGTCAGACTAGATGGCCCGGGAGACCCCTTCTGACTCGCTCTGTTTCTATGTAAAGGTGATTTTAGACCTTTAGGCAATACAGACCACATTGAGAGCAGAGCCCCTGTGAGAAGAGGTAATGGGATCCCTTTGAGTCTGTTAAAATGCACAAAATATAAAGTTCTTTGGGAAAGAAACAGCTCTCCACTGCAAAGTTGTGCATTGCACAACAACTGTGACCTAAGGGTAGCTAGGGGAATGGTAAACATGAGCTTCCTGTCCTCCAAAAGGACCATGATTTGTTTGGAAGGAACATGAACCATATGGGCTTTCTCTGAGGAATTTCTGTTTGTGAAAATGTTTCCCTCCCAAAATCACTGCTATTTGAGCTTTGGTTTTGACCGTGTGGGTCACAAAGTATAATTTGGCAGGTCAGTAAAGATCAGCCTGATACAATAGCATGCCACAAGTTTAAGTCGCTAGACAGTTGAAGAGGAAGTACAGCATCATGGTGAGGACAGTGCAGGATGCATTGGGTTAAGTCAGCTTTGCCCAGCTGTGTTTTGGACTTTTATCAGTCAGAAACACCATTGGCCAAGAATGCTAGGTGTAGCCCGAACTGTCTGGGGGGAACCAGGTTGGAAGAGGGTGGGACAAGGGGTAAAGGGAGCACCCCCTTTGGATTGGGTGACATAATCCTGACAGACCTTCAGCTAACAGTGTTAAATATTGGAGAGGTAGATTCTGTTTCTTTTTGGATTGCAAGATTCGTTGACTCCAGTCAGTTCAATTTTCCAAAAGGTACTCCATTTGTATCATAAGACTGTATCAGTTTCACTTGTATTCTGCCTGTCCTCTCAGAAGTTCAGAGTGGAATACAGCAGGATATTCCTTTTCATCCTCATAACATTCCTGTGAAATAGGTTGGGCTGAGAGACCACCCATCAAAGACCTGAATGCAGATCTTTCCCGTGTCTATGAAGTACATGGTCAGGGAGGCAAGGCTGCTCCTATAACTAACTAAAGCTCCTATAACTAAAGCAGGATCTTGGAGTTCTTCTCCAAAAGAAATTAAAATAGTATAAGTAAGCAATAACTGCTGCTGGTGCTGGTAGTTCTTGTGAAGCTTTACTTAATTAGTAAAGCTTAATTACTTAATCATCTTTTGGCCCTACCCATTTCTGCCTTTTGCCCTGCCCACAGATGGAACGTGGCTCTTAAGATTTTGCCATGTTGGAATTTAGCCCTGAGTCACTAAGTTTCCCCACTTGCATGGTGGTATAAAATATCCGAACCACCCAGTTTGATTGTGAGCTTTACCTAGCATCACTTGCATTTACTATGTGTCTGCCATAAGGAAGTCTTTTTGTATATGTAGTATTACTTTCCTACTTGGAGAACCTTAGGGCAAACCTCATGAAATTATTCCTTCACTCAGTGCTTCACTCAAGAAAAAAAAAAAAAACGCAACAAAAATGTAACAGTTCCCTTCTTATTTGTGTTACAGATTCATGATGTAAGTTTTTCTTTATGTCAGCTGTTTTCTGAAGACCTCCCAAAAGATTTTATTACAATTTTCAGAAACCAGTCTTTTCTCATTTACAAAAAAGTGAGGGAAGTCTCCCTTGGGAGCTGGTTTTAACAGCCAAATTTGGTTTCCTTGTGGAAATACTTTCTTGTACCTGAGTTATACGGTAAATCGTAGAAGGTCACTTAGAAGGAGGTGTGAAAAATATATTGGCATTTTGTGGGAATGCTAGTGGAGCTGGAAGGGAAAACTGCATTTTGTTTGATCATTTCACTTAGAACACCTAATTTCTAAGAGAAACTAGACTCCAAAGTATTGATTTTTCGCTATGAAGGATGGAGATGAATTCTGCAGGAAGATGCTCAGACAGTATTGACCATCCTTTTTGAAAAACATCCAAAGAACCAGATATTGCCCTTCTAGCATAAAAGCAGCCCACAGCTGCCTTGGTATAGCTTTGCTACAAGCATGCAGAAAAGGGGAACTGTCAGCCTGCAAAAATGTGGGTATAACTGTGCAGAAGATCAAGCAGGGCCACACATTTGTGTCAACAATAGCAACCAAGTGATGGGGCTGAATGCAGAGCTGGAAGAGATTATCTGCTGAACTTCTCCAGTTCACAAAGCCTGAGCTCAGTACAGTCTGTGCCCAGACTCTTTTGAACTCCATCCCTGCTGCCTCCTTCCGTTCGACAGGGTGCAACAGCAGTAGAAAGGTCTTCTGTGAGAGGTCTCCTCGTATGTCTGGCTGTTAGCACTCTGCAGGGCATTATTGAAGATGCAAGCTACTCTGTTTCCAGGGTTCCTTGGAATGCTGCTATTGCAATATTGCATGTGTCAGGGAGAGAGAGTTCCCAAACTTTCAGAAAGAGCTCTGGGGAAGTCTTGCTATTGCCCTGTCAAATTTTGGAAAGGCGTATAAGGCTGGGGTGAGCAACACGTCCTACAGATGTTTGGTTTACACTTCTTTCCAACTCTAGCTAAGGTAACTAGCAGTGAGGCAAGATGGGCATTTTCTGCTACAACATTGGAAGACCACCATTTACCTTCTTCTAGTGAAGGGGCTCACAAGGGGACTGGGGAATGCTGGGCATTGTAGAAATTTTCCTGCCTGAACACACATAAAATTGGACCCTTGACCAATCAATTGTACGAGGGGTGTTCAATGTATTCTCGGTATCAGCATGAAGAAAAAGGAATAATAAATTGAAATAATTTTTATCTTTCAATGTAATGCACCATAACTTCAATACATTTATTACATCTAGAAATTAACTTTTCAATTCCCTGTAAAAATACCCTTCCTCCTTGTCTAAAAAATGTGCGTTAATTGCTGCCTTGAACTCTTCATCGTCAGAAAATTGCTTTCCACGAAGATCTTTGTTTAAATTCAGGAATAGGGAGTAGCCACTGGGGGCCAGATCCAGGCTATAGGGTGGGTGGTTTATTTCTTTGAAACCACAGTCTCGCACAGCAGCCTTCGAAACACGCGCCGTGTGAATGGGCGCGTTGTCGTGAAGAAGCAACACACCTGCGGTCAGTTTTCCCCGCCTTTTTTCTTTAATTGCTTCTCTTAAATTACTCAGAGTGGTTGTGTAAGATGCTGCGTTTATGGTTTCACCTTTTTTTGTGTAGTTGATCAATAAAATTCCCTTTGAGTCCCAAAACACTGTGGCCATGATTTTTCCGGCCGATGGAGTAACTTTGAATTTCTTTGGAGGGTCAGCACCATTTTTATGCTACTGCATGGACTCCTGCTTACTTTCAGGGTCATAATGAGGAACCCAAGTTCCATCTCCAGTAACAATCCGGTGGAAAATACTCGATGGATCTTCACCACAGAGCTCTAAAAACTCTCTACAGCACTCGTGCTTGTTTCTGAGGCGCCGTGAGCATTCCCGGCACCCATCTTGCACAGACCTTTGAAAGGTTAAGATGGCCATGAAAAATAGTAAATATGGCACCAATGGATAGGTTTGTCATCTCTGCTAACATTTGGATTTTTATTCGGGCATCTTCCAATACAAATTTCTCAATTTTTTTCACATTTTCTTTCGTAGTGGCAGTAACCGGCCCGCCCAAGCAAGGGTCATCTTCAATGCTTTCTCTGTCCCTTTTAAATTCACTTGACCACTTTTGAACAGTAGATAATGAAGGTGCAGAGTCCTGGTAAACAGCCACCATCTCTTCGTGAATGATTTTTTGACTTTTTCCTTGTTTTGTAAGGAACTTAATCACAGCACAGTGCTTGATTTTCTTCAACATTGTCATGTCAGTCATCATGGTCGTCTTTCACTGAGGATTACTAGGGAACTAATGATCACAGTTATTTAAAATTTTGCATGTATACCCCCTCAGATAGTGTCATTAGCTAATGAAATAATTAAATTACCCACATCAATAGCAAATCAACCCAATACCAAGAATACATTGAACGCTCCTCGTATGAGTTTCTGCTGACTCACTCATTGACCAAATCTGTATAGACATACATGCTTCCTTTTGATTTGAGCAGGTGCATGAGAATGTCACAGCAGGTAGGATTGTGGAAGAAGTACTTCCCATTCTCTTCCACACCGATGCTCTGAGATGGTTTCACCTTCCCACGCTTTCATAAATATATGGTTTAAAAAGTCTTTAGTCTCATTGATGTTCAGCACTTTGGGAACACCTTTTTGAGTCAATTAAAATGTTTTCATTTAATGGTTCTAACCAGTGAGTTGACTTAAGTGGTGCTACAGTCCTCATTACTGCATGGGAGTTTGGTCATATCAGCTGACCATGTAGTATGGTTTCTGGAACATCATGGAGAGACTACATATCACCTATTTTAAAGTTTTTGCACTGGTTGCCAATACATTTTCGGATACAGTACAAGGTCCTTTAAAGCCCATGGCTTGGGTCCAAAATACCCTCAGGAGTGCCTTTGCCCTGACATTCCTCCTTGGCAGCTAAGACCCTGTGGGGATAATCTTCCCCATTCTGCTTCTGTAAGATTAATGTCAGCTACTTAGAGGACTTTTTCAGTGGTTGTCCCTAAGATGTGGAATGCTCTGCCACGAGAGAGGCATGATTTCCCAAAACCCCTCCTTTAAGAGGGAGTTAAAAATGCATCTCTGTCCAAAGGCCTTCCTAGATAGTTCTCATGTCAGTTTTATTTAATATGTTGTCTTAATAAATTTTAATCACTCTTGGTTTTAATTTCTTATAAACCGACAAGAGCATATGGGAATAGGCAGTAAATAAATATTAAGGTAAGTAAATATACCAATATTTTATCACAGTCATTCTTTTGAAGAGAATGGAAGTGAATTAGTCTAGTTGGCTAATGGAGTGATGGTGTAGGACCTTTGCACTGAATCCTGTACCTGATTTGACACACATACCACTTTGGGGGGAAATGTTACAGTTTTCCATCTTTGGTCTGTTATCCTCACTGGCTACTTCCTTTTCAGGAGCAATGAAGTGCCTTTTAATATTTGCCATGTTTCCTTTTTATAATGTACAGGTTTAGTTGCACTGGCTGAAGTTTTGGCTAGGAGTGCAGAAGTCTTGCCCCAGATATGTTCCAGGTGCTTCCTGAGGGACATGTGCATACTTTTGTTTCAGAAAAGAGACTATGCATCTCTCAACAGTTGCTCTGTTTTTCTTAGCAGTCCTATTTCCTGTTTCCTAGGGAGTCCTGGAAGAGCAGCTTGTTCTGAATGGTGATAATGCCTACAATGCACACTTTGGGGAAAGTATGGCTTCCCTGGGGGATATTGATGATGATAGATTTCCAGGTCAGTATACTTTTTGTTGTATGTGAGTTCCTTTTTGTTCTTGCAAGATAGAAATATGATGTAATAGTTATATGTGACAGAATTAATATAATTTATGTTTTTGTTCATGTAAGCATTTTACCCTACACTTAAGCCAAACAAGCTCCCAGAATGGTTTATGATAGATTACCTGCCCTCAGTTCTACAGTTTAAAAGATGTCATAAAAGTGGTGGGGAGGGCAGAGGAAAGCAAGCAAACTCATATACCAGCTATTAAAGTTAAATTGAAATTATGATTGATTAAAGTCCACTATTGTAATTTTAAATAACTTATAATAATAATAATAGTCTAATTAATCTAGATACAGATTTTTTGTTGTTTGGCCTGCTACCCATCTTTGTTTTCTTTTAATACGTTTTTCAATATTTTTTGTTTTGGAGTAGAGCCATCCAACACAACTTGCATTATATCAGGGCTTTGGAAACTTGGCAGTTTGAACAGACTATTTAGTCATAGTGCCATGGAGTGGTTTCAGGATGGGTAGCTTGTGTTCAGTGTGCCATGCACAGCTTCATGTGCAAGTGCATGGTATCTTCTTTGAAACATAAAAAGCAAGTAAAGTTGTGTAATGATTTTCCTCTGCACATGCTTCTTGTTAGAATATAAATATGCATTGTGGGATATAATGTTTTTACATCAGTGACTCATTAAATGAGGCAGCTTTTTCTGAGCCAAGTAACCACCAATCTGGTGGCTTTCATGCTTATGACGAAGATGGTTGGTTGTGGCCAGAATGTAGTTTATAACTGAAAGGGCCAGAAAGAAGAGGGATGTATTTTCCATTCATGTTTTCTTCCTTAACTAGATGTTGCCATTGGTGCTCCTAAAGAGGATGACTATATAGGAGCAGTCTATATCTACCATGGATACATTGGTGGCATCATATCTCAATATTCTATGGTAAGTGCTGGATGTGTGGCACTATGGGGTTTGTAGGAATGTGCTGGCTTATATAAGCAGAGTTAGTGTGGATCAAATGTCAGCAAATGTGCATCCTTCTGGGCAGAATAGTTCCATGACTGTATGCTGAAAAGGCATTAAGTGGATTTTGTTTAGCATTCGATTGCTTGCTCAAGGAATTCTTGTTCAGGCAGTTGTAATTGGCATTATCAACGTGTGGTACAACCACAAATCCATTGGCATTTATTACTGCCTTGGGATAATCATTCCAAACATGAGATGTAGGTAGTAAGCCACCCTAAGAATTAGCCACAGTGGGTTGGTGTGAGGAATCCAAGTAGGCATGAAAATCTGATAGATTGTTATGATTCATCCCCCTGGAAACTGCTTCTTTAGTCCTGATGTGCCTGAGTAGTGTGAGCAGACAGACTTTCATCTCTAAGGCAGATCACAATTTGCACATTTTAACTGCTACTGAAATTTATGCAAAAAACCCACGTGAAAATGGCATGGATTTAGCAAAATCATGCCACGCAATCATGCTAGAGCCACTTTGTTTTTGGGTGGTTACATGCACAAATATCATCAGAAGCTGAAAAATTACGTGCAAATTGCAGTTCATCTTAGAGATGGAAGTCTGTAAACACTGCTGCCCCCCAAAATCTGGCCCACATCCAATCATTGGCTGAGAGGCAGGTAGGAGGTTGGCTGAGCTCAAACAAACCAGATTTTTAAAATAAATCACTAGGTTCAGTGCAGTCAAGAGTAAGCCTGGCCGATGATCAGGCTTGCTGTGGCTTGTTTCCTCCCCCTTTCTCCTCAGTCCCCCAGTTGGCTCTGGCTCTTGGTGGAAAAACAGGTCTTGGGTCCCCTCTCACTCCAATCACTATGCCAACTGATTCTCTGGCTTTTAGTTAAAAAATAATCAGTGCCATTGGAAGATACTATCCTCTTGTTTTCAAGTGTGATGAACTGATCCTTCCCCATGTCCCCCACCCTTTCAACGCTTGCCCAACTCGCCAGTGATTCCTGACAGGGGATACTTGCCTGCCCTTTTTGGGGCTGCTTTTCAGAGCACTTAAAACTGCGGTCACTCCAGTTGCCTACCACATTTGAAAAACCAAGAGCAAAAAACGTGAATGGGGGCCCAGAATGGAACCCCACTGAGGGCGTAAGCACTGCTGCTGCAGGCGTGCTTGCTCTCCCTGCCCAATCCAAGGGTCTAGATCCTGCTGCACAAAAACATCATGTTACTCGCTTTTGACCCAGACTAGGTACTGTCTTTGTTTTGTTTTTTGCTTATTGAAGGGAAAATGAATCAGACTTTTTTTTAAAATCCTTTAGCTGTTTAAAATTCTGATCTAAATATTTTGTTTTGTTGCTGGGTGGGAGCCCAAGCAGGATGCTAAGTCAAGAGATTTAGTGGTTATATTTGAGATCCTTAGTGCAGGCTGTAGATGATTAGTTCTGCTGTGTGTGGACTGTTTTAGAATGCATTAGCTTTTTAATGTTTTGAAGAATGCAGACCAAATCCTTTTTTATGATGGTTTTTATAAGTGATAATTTGTGGTAAATGGAAGACTTTTTCCTGCACCAGAGAAAGGATGGAGAATGGTTGAACTGATTCAGAAGCATGATGACATTTTTACTGAGGCTGTCCGGATTTGGATGATAAATGTTGTTTGTTTATTTTAACATATTTGAGGCAATGCAAAAGTTGCACAAGGAGACAGTTTAATATTAGCAACCAGGGCAGTTGACTACTGTCTCTTACCAGATTAGTCTGTAGCTTTTGTGATCTTTTTCAAGTTATTTTTCCTGCCAGCTATTTTTCCATTTCTTTTTCTTGCTCTCTCCCTCTCGCTGTTTGAGGCTGCTAAGGTTTGTGTTTTAATGCTGTGTCTTGTTCACATGGAGCAGGGCTGAAGGTCATCCATTGATTTGGTTCATGAATTCATCAAGCAGTTTCAGATGTTAAATTTGCAATGTCTGCCTACCTAGCCTTTGTTTGAACTAGTAACCTTGGGGTGAAAGGCTTTGTGTCCTTTTACTATGACTCTGAAAAATCCAGATGCAATGCATTAAAACACACACACAGCTTGTTTGAGGGGGGAAAGGACCATTTATTTACAGTGATATATTATTTTTCCCCTCCATTCATGTTTTAATTGCTAATAGTCACCTTTGCTTCAGTACAAACCTGGGCGAAGCTGATGGAGAAGTGTCTTAATCGGCTGCCTCACAGAATTGGATGTATGTGAAATAGGTTTTGGTTTTGTTAACAGCTCTCAAAGCTGTGTAGCATTATGCTTCAACCTTTATACCCTAATAGTCTGCAGATGTCTGTGGAATATGTATAGCCCTTGTTTGCCACCCTAACAGGGACCCCCCACAAAAGCCTAGCCACATTCTCTTGTGTAAATGTAATTTGAGACATTCAGCTGCTTTCACTTGCCTTAGTGTTATCAGTTCCAAAACTTTTCTTTCCTTTAAGTTTGAATTTAGTATTTTCCAGGGAAGTTCCAATCTGACTTTTGGCTGTTACTATCTTTTATATTTCTCTCTCCAATCTACTAACAGCATGTTTGCCTGGGAGTTTTACACATTGCTAGTGGCTTTATCACTAAAAGAAGTGAGAGACATATTGCCTTCTTCAAAATGGAGGCAGGCTGCTCTATATAATGTTCTCTAGCATAGACAGGGTGAATGGGTGTAAATGAACTGCTTTCTCTATTGAATGAAATGCAGTACAAATTAACCATACAGTTATTGGATGGGCAGTACCAGTAGGGGCCAGAGAGCTAATGATTTTCTACTGAGCAGACATTTCTTCTGTACTGTGATGTAAACTCTTATCAATAGATCTCACACATATTTCCTCCAGAGCAGAAGCTGTTAGGTACTGTTGTTTTGTCAGTTCTGCTGTAACTGATTAGAAGGTGTACTGGAAGAGTTTCACATGATACTTCAGTGAACTGTCCAAAGAGCTTTGGCTATTGGGTGGTGCAGTTCTGTAATAATTACTATTGGGTGGTGTTGAAATATGAGTCAACTGTGCAGAGTGAAGTAGGAAGTAGAGCCTTTCCTCCTCCTCTTTGAAAAATACAAATCTCCTAGCCAACTGGTTGCCCCAGAAAGAATAGTTTCTTGTGCCTCAAACATAAAGGTTAGATTAGATCCTGAGTATGAGCACTGGGAAGGGAAGTGAAAAATCATGTGTGATTTCTTAATCAGTAGTGATGAAAATGTGGCTCATAGACCGTGCAACTGAGTTCTGCCAAAATCAGTGGGAGACTTATATTTGAACCCGATAGATCAAGCGCAGCTTAAATGTTACCTTTTGCTTGATTCTCTTGATTCCTGTTATCTGTTTTCTATATTACAGAGAATATCTGGAAAGCAGTTAAGCCCCAGGTTGCAGATGTTTGGCCAGTCCATTTCTGGAGGAGTTGATATGGATGCAAATGGTTATCCAGGTAGGTCAGTAACACTGGCAAGAACAATAACAATGCAAACCAACAGATGTAATGAACTGGAAGACCATGAAGATTGCTAAGAAAAGGACCACATACATCCTTTTGCATTAAAGTATATCCATATAACTATTTCGGTTCATTTTTGGTTGTTTGGGTTTAAAAGGGATCTGAGTAAAAACGCCTTTGCTCTTAATTAAATGATCTGTTAGGAATGGTGAAAAGAAAACTCAGCTGATGTTACCTCTGAAAAATGTGACATTATCCCCACTGCCAATTTTTAGGAGCAGGTTTTGAGAAATGTAGAAGTGGTAGATACTACAAGTTGATCGTTTACCTTTGCCACAGATCACCTTTTTAATCTTAGTTACCTAATCATTATCGAGATTGTATTTATTCCTTGTGTGTATATAGGCCAAGCCAAGGTGCATGTTGTGATGTGTGCTTGGGTGTGTGGGAAATCTGACACATTAATGTGTGTAAGAGGAAGGTGGTAGAATGTATTGAATGGGATCATTACATTTCAGAATGAGAAATACTCATGTTTTGCAGCAAATATTTAACAATTTTGCCAATCGTAATACGTTGTAGGGAAGAATGCTATGCCCTGTGACTCGATTACAATCCTCTAAATCTCGTACATGCTTGCTTTCAGATGTGACAATTGGAGCCTTTATGTCGAACAATGTGATTCTACTAAGGTAAGATCAATTTAATCTGTGCCCTTGAACAGGATAAATTGTGTCTGCTGTAATTGTTGCCGTTCATAGAGTTAGTTTAAAAATGGTGGATTGCTCCCAGGACTTCTGTATGCGACCATATATTGACAATTAGAGAAAGAGCATCATAGTACTGAATGAGACATGTTTATCATGGTAGGCCCTTTGCATTTAGATCCCACACAGTCATCCAGCTGCTCTACATAGTGGAGCAGCGATGGAGGAGCATCAATGGTACACCCAGTGTGCCATCTTGTTTGTCATGTCAAGGGAGATGTGCTTGCAGGCACTGGAGCACATGTAGTTTGCTTAGTGAAACTGGTAGTTTGTGAAAGCAAAATTAGAGAAGGCAGGAACTCTTACTTTCCTTTTTGTAGTCTGCTGCAGAGGTTTGTGGGAGGTGTGGGTGTATAGATGATCCATTTAGAGAGAAGAGGTGAGTTAACATGACTAGAAAATGAACAAAGGAGTTTGATAGTGAATGGTGGAAAATGGTGAAGCTCTGGTTTCCCCTGACCCCGCCCCCCCACCAGTGCTTTTAAAGGCCTGTTAATTATTGCATTGCAACTAATCAAAGGACAATTTAATGAAACTACAATTCAAGGCATGCTTAATCCAGGTGGGCATTATTTTGTACTTGATTTCTTGATTTCTCGTTTTTAGAACACCTTTCTATTGTAAACAGATTTCATGCTATTTGAGGAACATGAAAATAGTGAATTTAGTCTGTGTCACAGGCAGTACTTCAAGGCACAAAGAATTATTTGGAGGGTTGTCTCACTGATGATGGAGGAGATTGGATTTTGGTTGTTCCAAAGGATAGAAGGTTCACATGTCAAGAGAGAGTTTAGACCAAGCATTAGGAGGAAGCTTCTAATGATACGAGTTCTTCAGCAATGGCTCAGGTGGCTTTGGAAAGGGGTGGCCTCTCATTTTAGGTGGAAGCTACATGGCCACCTGTCATTGGCATTGTACTTGCAGATTTTCTGCTCTGGGAGGAGGTGGACAGTTCTGTGATTGCCCACATCACCCTCTTCCTTGGACCCGGGACTCAGATTTCTGGTTCTAGTCTGCAGTCTGCCATGAAGCTTACTTGGTGACTTTGGGCCAGTTACTGACTCTTAGTCAGACTAACCTCACAGGGTTGTTGTGAGGATGAAATGGATAGGAAGTTCATGTAAACCACCTTGATTTCCTTGCTAGAGAAAAAAAATGTAATCATAATAGTACCAATCGTAATAACTAATTTGAATGTCCATGTTCAGAAGCAACATACCTCTATTTACCAAGTGATGAAGACTAAAAGAAAAGCAGGGAAAGAGCTGACAGGGCTGCGGTCCCAACTGTTTACTAGGCCAAAAACTATTGTGCCTCTCCCCAAGCTTCCTGCTTATCACTTGGCCTTGGCACTACTCCCTTCTGAGGATAGTTGTGAGTACTCATGTACATGCACACAGGTGGGTGCTCATGTAAAAACAGTTGGAGTATAAACATCTCTGGAAATAACCAAGTTCACTGATACTTGGCTTGAGCCAGGACCACAGAACAGTGCTAAGCAGATTCAGCCATATCAAGCGGTCTGCTCCCTTGTCATCTGTGGGTTCCCTGGCAACAGAAGAGGCACAAGCCGCTGTTCTCTGGCTTCTTCTTCATTCCTTTCTCACTTGCATGTTCATTGCCTTTCAGTCTCAAAGGACCGCTTGCCCTTTGGCAAGACAAGCTGCCTCATACCAGGTCAGACAGTATGTCCATCCAGCCAGGTATGGATTATTCTGATTGGCAGTGCTGTCCCTGGTCTCTGGCCAAGGGTCCCTCACTGCCTGCTGGCTGGAGATGCCAGGCTGGGTCATTCGAAATGCCAAGCATGTGCTCTGTGTCCCTTAGGTGTGGTTCCTCCCCCTTGTAGGGAATGGGCCCTCTAGTTCTGCAAATATGGGGATTGGTTCTGATTCTGGTGGAAGGAAAACTAGAGACCAAAGGGCCAAGAATCGAAAGAACAGAGAAAAGGGAGCAGGGAGGAAAGAGCTGAGCTACTCCTTAAAATGTAGCAACCTTTCCAAAAAAGCTCAGAGGGCCTGACCGATCCAAGAGTGAGATCTCAATTAGGAAAGGAAGACCCGTGAGGAAGAGTGGGATGTTCTAACTGCCTTCAGGGTTTGGTTTTCAGGATTTTGGTAACTAGGAAGCTCAGGGCTTGGCTAATTCTAATTTCTCGGAAATCAACTTCATCTGGGTCATACTGCATTGATGAACTGAGCCTATAGAAAGCCAAAACACCTTGTTCTCTCTGTTACTGTAACCTAGAGCCAACTTTGCTTGGTTGCAGTTTTGCATAATAAAACTTGTTGATTAGAAGAACTATTTTCATGCAAGAGTGAGACGCCTCCGTAACACCAACACCCTTCTCCAAAGAGAACTGCAAAGGCAACTCCTTTAGCCCTGTGCATCTTGCGCTCTGCTCACCTTCTTTGTTGTTCCCAACCAGCGCACATGGCTCATGGAAATAGTGATGGATCCGAGCAGGTTTGCATAGGCAGCTACTTAGGCTGCGCCCAGGAGGATGTGCTAAAGGGCTTTTGCCTCTCTTGAGGCACCTCCTATAGTCTCTGGTAGCCCACAGTGAGGGACATGAGCAATTTCCATCTTGCCATGCAACATGAACAGCGGACATCTTGGTGCACTGCCATGCTAGGAAGCATCGGAAGCAACCAAACTGAGCTCAGTGAGGCATTCTATATGTTATGCTGTATTTCTGTGAAAAGCAGATCGGGGAGCTTTGCAGATTCCCACAGCAACCAAAACCCGCCCGCTATGCAGCCTCTGTTTATTTCTTTAGAGATCAGTGCATTACAAGCTAAGCATGTGGTGATACTGATGAGTTGCAGCTACAGCCTGTCAGGGAGTGTGCTGCCTTTGCTTTAAGATTAGGGGAAAGTAGGAGAGACTCCCCCCCCCCACATATTCTGCACCCCATGACTAAGTTGCTTTGCCAAAAGCCGCATGCATTTTTGAGCAGCTACTGTAATGTGTGTGTTTCTGGGGATTGACACTGTGTGTTTGTGTATGAGTGCACACACACACTTCTTCTAGGTTGATGTGTTCAACTTTTACATGGGATAAAAAGTAAGCTTTTTTTTTTTAAGTTATCCTATTCTCTACTTGTCTGCAGACATGGGGCCTTTTCACACAGTCCCATTGCATATAGGTTAGGGAGTTAACACATATTGCATCAGATTGTCTGCTGTGTCTACATGGCATGCCACTAAGTTGTCTGCATGCGTTCTGCTGTCTCTTGCAACATTACAGTTTGCAAAATGAATTCTGTGGAAAGATAGGGTGGAAATAAGATTGTATTCCTCGTAGTACTCAATCAGGCATCCAGCTGCTGGACAGCTACAGTAAAAGCTGATATGCAGGGTGGGCTTCAAGTTGGATAGGCTTGAATACAGAAAGCTGCAAGTGAGACCTGCAACAAAATGTTGCAGTGTTTGCTTTCTTTTAACAGGTTGTTGTGTGCTGATTCCTCCCTCTCCCTCTCCAGGGCTTTGTTTTGATTAGGATAAAAGGCTTTCTAATTAAAGTCTTGATTACGTTAATGCTGGCCAGCCATGGCAGCTTTGCAATACAAAAAGTATTACAGAAGTCAGCAAAATAAAGACACAAGTGAAGTTATAATACAGGCCATTGGGGAAATATCTCTGAATGAGACAGAGTTAATGGTTATGCATCTCCTCTCTCTGGGACCAGAAAGAGCTGTCCTCCACCTGGTTCTTGCTGCTAAGGGGCAATTATCTAGAAAGTCTCATGCTCCTGATGCTTTCAATTGGGTGGATGATGTTGACTCTGTCTCTGAACATTCGGCTGACTTAAGAATGTCTGGATCTCCTCAGCCACCTGTCTTACCTCTGGATTGCTTGGCCCAGCATTTCAGCTAAGATTTCTAATGATGCCTTTTCTAGTTCTGATTCTGACTCTGAGACAACAACCTTTGATGTGAAAAGAGGGTCCTGTCCCTACATGGGAATTACTTCTGTTCAGATTTGAGCCAGCCATTTTCTCCAAGTAGGCAGTCCCCTCTCCTATTCCCCCTTCCCTCCTTGGTTTACCAGTTCTCTTTTACAAATGGTGCCCCATATTCCATAGCTACTGGGTATTCTCAGCACTCTTTGGGTGGGTTGGGTTTTTTTCTCTCTCCTTTTGCCCCCTTAGTCTTTAAAGTCAGATTTGGTTTTGCACTTCTGCAGAGCTGAGGTTTCCCTAAACATATGAATGTTTCTTCCTTGTTCTTCAGTGGCCATATTTTTGGATTCATACAATTGGCACTCATTGCCTAAATTCATTATTAGATGGAATGACATGTTGTTTGGTTAGAAAAAGTTTCTTTAAAATTCTATTTTCTAGGAAGCTTTCAAGGAAAGGCAGGAAATACTTTAAGAGACATCTACTGCAGGACCTAAGTTTGCTCTCATTTAAGAGGGGCTACTTCTTTTCCTATGTGGGTGGGAGCTACAGTATTTTCTACTCAGAAAGTTACTATTTTCAGGCCTACACACTCCCACCTGTACTAATTGCCTAGACTTTGTATGTATGGGGAAATTTTGCTTGGTATGGCTTATATAGAGTCTGAAGCATAAAGTGGATTTGGATAAAGTGGGTATCAGTTGCTGCCATTTTTATTCCTGTGCTAGGGATGAGGCAACTATTTTGAGAGAAATCCGAAATGGTGGGCCAGGCTGAGCCTCACAAGCACTTCTCAATGCATGAATAGGCTCTTTAATTTCATAAGCATTCTGTGGTCTCCTGTCATGTGGCAGAAAAAAACGGATGCACTGCCGTGGGGGTCTCATGACTGACCGCTTCTTCAACTTGAAATCACCGTAGCAACAAGCCATAGTCTATGTTGTTAAAATGCAAAGCTTTCATTCATGACATGCAAGAGGGGAAGTTGAGTTCATAGCATTGGCAAATTCACTGTGTGTGTCCCCTGTTGACAGGGGAGTCTGATATGTTCATTGCTTTTCACAACTTGCTGGAAAAGTGGTTGGGCTGATTTTTCTCCCCCTTTCCCCTTGTAGGTGGGGTGGATTGTGCTGAGGGGGGGTGTGGTACCTGAGGGGTCAGACAAAAGAGCTGCAGCTGCTTCCTGAAGAGAGAGAGCGCCTCTCTCCAGCTCCTGTCATTGCCTGCCCTCCAACTGGAAAGCAAAGCTTCTCTGAACACCATGAAAGAGCTGAGGGACAAGGAGGAGGAGGAGGAAAAGGACAGGGCGGCTGGGAGGAAGGGAATCGGAAGGGAAGTGGAGGGTTGTAAGACCTAACCGGCAAAACATCTGGCTGCCCTTTTCTCTCATTCCTGAGCTCCATTCTTGTCGAGGCAGTGTATTTTCTTGCCAGTCTTTCTTTTAACTTCTTAATGGCAGAAAGTATTATGACTTTTTTGAGGGAGAAGGTGTCCTGGACGAGATGGTCTCCTGTATGACTGAACCATTGCAAATGAAAGCAACTTTCAACTTGCATTGCTTTGACTTCAGTGTTTTCAGTGTGACCAAGGTTTGGACATTGGTCTGTTGATCTTCGAGGCAGCGCTCACAGCCGGAGACAAGAGCAGATGTGGGGACTTTTGCATCCATACTCCTTGCCAGAGAAAACACTCAGCTGCAACTGCCTGCTGGCCTGGAACTGCAAGTGCAAGGGCAGAAGCATGCCACTGGGGGCTGTTGTTGTGTTGGACAAGAATTGTTGCAGGACTACCACAAGGGAAGATCAACCTAGACTGAACTGGATGTGAATGCCTATGTATTTTATTTTGGCATGGAAGGACCCTCTCCTCTATCATTTCCCTTCTTCCCACTCCCCTTCCCTTTGTGTCTTGCATTTTTTAGTTTGATCACTTTTTTTCTTGATGTGATCCATCTGGGAGTAGCTGAAAAATACACATATAACATATAGAACAAATATGACACATTTACAAGTATTTTTGGACATTGTTTTCCCATTTTTAAGGCAGTTGCTGTTTTGCAACCCTGCCTTAATCTGGAACTGGGAAAAAAAAGGACTCCTGATGTGAGTGAACTCTAGGAAATGACCATCTGTGTCCTGTTGCAGATGGTCAGGCATTGGGGTGCTGAGTGAAGTTTTTGGAGGGCTGGCTAGAAAGATGAGGAAGGAAAGGAGGTGGCAGCAGGTGGTGGTTTTCTGGGAAGAGGAGCAGGCAGTAAAGGCAGAGTTTGTGTCAAAGGTGTACTCGGGATATATCCTCTGTTCCCTTTGGAAAGTTTTTTGTAGGTTGGCTACATCCTGAGTATCTCATTTTTGGAACTAACTTTGAAACTGGCATCTGTGCATTTGTTTTTGCCTTTGTTTCCTTTCAATGGCTTGTTGATCCATGCCTTACCATATTTCTTGGTGATATTCCTGTCACAGTCTGTTCATCCCCCCTCCCCCTCCCCCTCCCGCCTCATAACAGTAAGAGATTTTGATTTCAGCTCTCTCTTGCTCATGCACTTATTTTATTTAATTGAGAAAGATGCACTAACCTCTAAGCCCAGGTAAGGTTCTCTTTAAACTATGGTTCCCATACCACAGCACAGGAATGCTAGAGAGTGAGTGTACATGCCCTTTATGAAAATGGCTGATTGTAAATTGACCAGGAATGCTTGCAGTTGACAAAGGTATGATACAGTGCTCATGTGCTCACAGTTTCTGAAAAATATTTTCTTAGGGTGTAAATGGCTTGCAAACAACCAATCTGAAATTGATAGTTTTAAGGTTTGTTTGGTTCTGTTAACCTGTTGGCAGAAAATCCTACTGTTTCAGTGGAGGTACTGGTCAATTTCAGATATTCTACTCTATGTGTATCAGGGCTGGTGTATATAATCTATGTGCTGAATGCAAGTTATGCGAGAAAGTTTGCTTTGGAAATACAATTTTTGTTTTCTACTCCCCTTGTGCAGCTTCTTGCACATGGCCCAGTTTTTCTCCAGAGGTTCCAGACCAGATTTGGGGAAAAGTGGCGTAGGAAGAGAAATCCTTTCCACCCACAATTTCCACACTACTGCACAGTCATGGGCAGATGTTTTAGCCTATAACTTCCATCATCCTTAGCTAGCATAAGCAGTCGTGAAGGGCAATGGGAATTGTAACTTAAAACATCTGTAGGGCCACAATTTGCTGTCTCCCTGCATTGGTTCTGTTTCTCTCTAATAATGAAAGAGAATGTCTGTCTATGCTATAGCTCCAAAACTGAAATAGCATATATGGTAAGGGTCCCAAGAGGAATGTATTTTGGGATTATTTGTTTTTTTAAAACACATTCATTTAAATTAGCTTACTTTTGTCTGTGTTTGAAGCCTGTAGTACCACCTTTGATTGCTAGATGGCATACTCCCCCGGCACCATACAGTGGTACCTCAGCTAACGAACTTAATCCGTTCCATGACTCTGGTCGCGACCCGAATTGATTGCGACCCAAGTCAGATTCCCCCATAAGTTTCAATGTAAATAAGGTTAATCCATTCTGACCCCTACGAATGTGGTCACGAGCTGATTTTGGTCACAAGCCAAGTCAAATTTCCCCATAAGGTTAAATGTATATAAGGTTAATACGTTCTGTAGATATTTTTTTTAATCACAAAAATTTGAAACAAATTAACAAAGAACAACAAAGTAAAAAGGTACAGTACAGTAGAGAACCCTAACCTAGGTGGCGGGGGGGAGGTTATTGTTTGGAGGGAGAGTCCAAACGATAATCGTGCAATTGCGCTCATGCTCGGGGGTGGGGGGAGATGGGCGTGATCACGATTGTGCTCATGGAGGGAGTATGGACACGATCATGATTACACTCGTGCAGGGAAGATGGCCATGATCGCAATCGTGTTCGTGCGGCAACATGGCCGGGATCATGGTCGTCACCCAATGCAGAGTTCGTGAACTGAGGCAACGATTTTCTGAAATTTCTGTTCATGACAGAATTTTGGTTGTGAGCCGAGATACCGCTGATTTGGTCGTGAGCTGAGGTACCACTGTATAAGCTTTGGCCCCAGTACAGTTTCAAACTGGGGGAAAAGCCTGAGGAACAGAGTTATATCGGTTAAATCTTGAAGACTTTGCTGCATCGAACTAAGGGTTCATGAGTAACAAGCCAATGAAAAGTAGGAGCGGAAAAGCCAGCCAGTACCCAATTACCTCCTTTTTCTGGCTAACAGGAACCAAATGATCTGTTAGAAGGGAACTCTTCTCTCGAACATCTGCTTATTGCTTTCATGTGCACACTAACAATAATAAAACTTATTTGTAGTGAGATTTCAGAATAAATACCTTACACAGAATCTTGTTGGGATTTCAGTGGTGTCAAAAGGTGTTTAAACAACAAGAATTAGGCTATGCGTGTGCATGTAATGACTGCTTTAGCAAGATCTGAAAATACAAGTTGGACTAATGGTGAGAAGCCAATGTCTAATGCTGCTTCTCAACAAGGAAAATGTACACATTTGAACTGCTAAACCCAGAATAAAATCCAAAGACAGACTGATTTGAAGGAATCCCTGGTTAAGGCTTTTTTTCCAGGCAGCATTGACAACTTCATGTCCGCTAACAAGCTGCTCTGATGAACTGTCAACGCTGACGGTTCAGGCCCAGATGAGCATTCTGCCTCCTCTCTTGCTGGAGAATTCATAGAGCTTCAAACATAGAGACCTGTGCGCCTTTTTAAAGTTAGTAGCTTCTTTAATACAGCTACTGATGCTTCCTTGACGTACAAGGGAGGGGAGGCGATTGGGCAGCCAGTGATTTCACAAAGGCTCTGGCTGCTCCTTGAGGGTTCTGTACCAGTGGCTTACTAATTTATTTAATATTCTTGTTTTCCATTTTTCTGTCTGGCAAAAACCTTTGCAAGTGGCTAACAATAGTAACAAAAATTAATTTCCTACATTGCTTCTCCCACTCTGCCAGTGGGAGTTGGCAGGGCATACCAAAAGCCTTTGGGATTGGAGGCTTCCATCTACCCTTTGGGATTTAATGACTTGCAGGATAACTGCTTTTTAATTTTTTTTTCTTACCACCGTCTTTGGTCTGGCATCTGAGGGGACACAGCAGATGGCATAGTGAAACCAGCAGGAAGGCTGTAATCCTAAACAAACTCACTAGGATATACATTTTCTTACCACTTCCCATTGAACACAGTGGAACTTCATTTTCAGTCGGCATGCACAGATGTGCACTGATGGTCTGTTACAAGGTCATTGTTTGTGTACAACCCATGAGCTTCGTGCACTCTCCTCTGGACTTGCCGAGGTTTTAAAGACAGTGCAATCTTACATTTGCAGTATCAGAACAGGCAAAAAGCAGAACCATGGCTGCACCGTTCTACATGGAAAGCTAGGCAAACAGAGTCCAACATGAACGCTATAATTTTAATCAGCCCAGTACAATTGTCCTCTTCCAAGCTGATGTGGTTGAAATTGCTACAGCTCATCATGGATCTGTTTCACATCAACAGTTTTCCACATGAAGCTACATCCAGCAGGGCACTGTGAATTGTGTTGTCTATGTTGTGTCCACAATGTTATGTTCTGCCTTAGATTTTAAAAAAAGCATGAGAGGCAACTGGGGACAAAAGAATAGCAAAAGTGCCCAAGTTTGTACCAGCAAGGGCTTCCTTTGTTTATAATTTCTGCACAAGTGCTTAGCCTTCATAACATTTTAAAGGGGTGTTTCAAGACCTTCAAGGGAGAGGTGGCTTGCCTTGGGCTTCCTAGCAATTTTATAGGTGGGGTGAGATAGGGACCAAGGACTTTTCATTCACAGGTCAGTTTCTTGGTCATCATCTTATACAAACTACTATGGGGAATAACAAGTTTCTCTTTTCTGTTCTTGGTTAAGATCCAGGCCTGTCATTACTGTGGATGTCTCCATTTTCCTGCCACCTTCCATTGACATCACAGCTCCGCAGTGTCAGGATGGCCTGCAGCAAGTGAACTGCCTGGATATCACAGCCTGCTTTAGTTTCAAAGGCAAGCACGTTCCAGGATTGATAGGTAAGATGTAATCTCGACACCCATCATTATCTGTAATTTTCAAAACAATTTGTAAAAAATGTTATTTTTGTTATTGTTCTCAGAAGATCCTTGGTGAAGGCTGACAGTTACTGATCTAGTTGTGACTGGTTACACTTGATGTTCTGTTTTCCTCATCCCATGGTCAGATCACAGACTCACAAGACCTATAACCTAGATAGCTACAGCAACAATACTTGGATTTCACTGTTGAACAAAGCCAAATCTCTCTCTCTAATAGTAAACTCAGCTAGTACATGCCAATGGCAAAACGTTGCCACTAGAAAAAAGAAAAGCAATGCACTACTGGCATGCTCAGGGCTATTCCAGTGTCCACAGAAGTATATTAAACAAACCTAGGGGGCTGAGCGATGCTGTGCTTGTTTTGTTTTATTTGCTCTTTTATTGTAAGCCGTCCTGAGATGTCAGTGGTGGCTGGAGTAGAAACAAACAAGCAAACAATGCCCTAAGGAGCCTGATATGTGCTGAATGTGCTCAGAATGTTGAGTGTCACTGGGGGAAACCAGAAAACCAGGGATATGTCTGGGTGTGGGGTCACTCCGGTTAGTAGGGGTGCCTAGAGCAGCATTTTGCTTCTGTGCTCACTTGTTGCTTAAAGATGTTGTTAATGAATAGGGTTAATGAAATGCGTCATAGTAATAATGCTGTGTAATACTTGGCAGGTGTAGGACACATGGCAAATGTTCCAAGCATTTCAGCAGTGCTTAGAACAAACTTGTGAGGCGTGACAGTTGCATGATTTTGGTATGGCACATGCAGAGCTGAGAGGGAGAGTCAGTGAGGCTGCCTAAGGCTACCTACTGAACTCATGGTGGAGGTGAGACTGGGGATGAGGACTTCCTGTCCCACCATGCATTCTCTTAGCTGCTATGCTGCATTTGCTATTGGCAGCTCCCAAGTTTAGGATAGCTATAGAGGAAACGTTTGGTTGGTTGCTGCAGCAATTGAAGCTCTCTCATATCCTGTATTAGCAGGAACCTTTTCTGGTAAATGTCTGAGTTAATGATGAATGAGTTGTGTGTGATGAATTTTTTTTATTGAAAGCTGCAAGACAGAAAGTGGTATTTGGAAACTATATTGCTTCCTGCTTCTCCTTCGTAAATCTTGTAAACCCAAAGACAATCCTGGAACATACTTCTCATACAACACTCGTTTTATGCTTTAAGTTATGACTATTCATTGAAAGTGGTTAGTAAATAGCATATTTCCCTCTATCTAAATAGTTTTTAGATGCAATCCTATGTGTGTTTGGTCAGAAAAAGGTCCCACAATTCCCACTGCGGCTTGCTGGGGGATGCTGAGAATTGAAGGACTTTTTTCTGTCTAAACATGCATTGAATTACAGCCTTAGCTATTTATAGAATTCCACAGCAAGAGAAGCAAATTTTCATTTGCCCACTATATTGCATAAAAAGCAATTATTTCCTTTGACCCGACATCAGGTTGATCCCTTTAAACAAGTCCCAAAGATATCAGATTGGACTTTTGATTTGCTCAATCCCAAAGAATGATGCTTGACGTTCAGCTGGCTTGGTAGCCTGGGCTGTATAAGAAATTTGTATCATGTCGATCTACCAATAGAAGCTTAGGCAGGATAGCCAAGAATGGAATGCATCTGTCCAAAGGCATTATACTTTGGATTATCCTGGCACAAGCATTGGGGAAACTCAGCCACACCCTCCACCCTCTTTCACCCACAATCAAAGCATGTTCGCATGCTTTCCAAGAAGAAACCGGCCGCTGATGGAAACAAGACTGGCTAGCATGAACTCTCACAAGTCCACAGGTCCTTCTGGGAGAGCTATAGTTGCCACTAGCATATCATCTAGACATGACATTTGGAAGCTGTAGGAAATTAATTGCTTGGAAACATGCTGTCCCTGTGCTGCAGCTGAACAGTCCAGCAACACTGGTAAATAATATCAAACAAGTGCCTGGACTGCACTGATATGTTGGCTTCGAACATGGCTAAACTATTAAAATCCTACATATGAGCAAGAAGATACTGCTAGATATGGGCTTCTGTTCTGTTCCCACATTATTCCACTGTCGTGCCTGACACCGCAACAGAGGCGGCACCTCACGAGGAAGAGTCAGACACCCAAAGAGAGAATCAGACATCAGAACAGGAGGATTTATACTTGAGGCCCCGTGGCCAAGTGACCCTTCCACAACCTGGCTTGGGAGTAGCTGAACAGATAGCCATCCCTCATCCTGACCCTTTACCCCTTAGGGAAAAGACACTACAAGTTCTGCCCATGGACAGCACGGGCGGGATACCCCCCTTCCTCCTGACACTGAGTTTCCGGAACAAGACACAGAACACACAGGAGGTGGGAAAGATCTGTCTTGTGCGACTCTTCGACGTTCCTTACACCAATTGGAACAAAAGGAAGCTTTGTCCCACCTCAGGGGGGAAAGGTGGGACAAAGCTAATCCCATGTGGGTTCCCTGAGGGACGTCATTAAGAAGGTAGCAACTAACTTGTAAAGGTCATTACAGTAGAGCTTATTCGTAGCATCGTAATCTTGTAGGTAAGTAGCAATAGAAGACTTTAGTTTTATTGCCGGCTTAAGTGTGGCTCTTTTTACAACTTTGAGATGACACCTCATAACATCCACTTAAAAAAAAATCTGTGCGAAAATTCACAATGAAATAAGTGTTTTAATTGTATTTTCTCTTGGGATATACATTTCTAAATTTACTTTTATATATTAATTATTTAAAAATATTTATATGCTGCCATACCTGCTGCGGAGCCATTAAGGTAGTATAGAACTATTTGAAACAATAAAAACAAGAACTTTAAAAACAGTAAAAGCATTGAAATGTTAGTTTTTTTATTTTAATCATTTAAAAGGCTAAAGTGAAAAGGTGCATTTTCTTTATGCCCTTTCGGAAAGCCAAAAGAATGGGAAAAACACAGCTTTTGAAGGCATGTGTTCCATAATTAGGGACAATGCAGAAGAAGCCCTGCCATGTGATTCTGTGTGAAATGACTCCCTCAAAGGGGGCTCCTGTGTAGATCTTACAGATTAATAGTGAGACGGGTTTTTCTTGAGATAGTGAGGCTCTAAGCCATTGAGGGCTTTAAAAGTTTAAGACCAGCACCTTGAATTGAGCTTGGAAATTGATTGGCAACTAGTGCATTCAAGCTGAGAATTTTGTCAAAGGAATAATTTTGAAAGATATGTAAAGCTGGCAGAAATGTAAGTTCCATATTAGTCTAGCAGGCACAGATCAGATCTGTTAATATCGGACCTCCTCAAATACCCTTATGTTTAGCTCCCCCTGCCCCAATTGTGATACCTATGAAAGCACACCTACTGCACATGGAAAATGTGATACAAGACATGGAAAAAAGAAGCTCAGACATGCTCATGGACATTATGTTTGTCTGCTCTTCGAAAGACTGTAATTTCACGCTCCCCTAAAATCCATGGGATATGCAGCATAGTTCACAAAATATGCCACAGAACTAAACCAAACTATAAACTAAACTGCTAAGAATGTAGTTCCATGCATGTCCAGCTGCCATGCATGGCTGGCTAGAGAATGCTGGGGGTTGTTTGACTTACTTCTTTCTAAATATGTACAGGATTGCACCCTAAAATTATGATTACACTTAAGTCCCTACAGTATGTCAGGAGCCTTTTTGCAGGTAATTGTTCATGCAAGCAGTCCACTGATGCAGGCAGCAGCGTGTCAGAACTTCTCTGGGCTGGAAAATCAAGTTGTATTACACTAGTCTGATGCACCATGTAATGCTGCTTGTATAAGTAGATTGCTTCCACAGTTATGTTTGCAAAACTGCTGCCTGGAGTCTCATATGAAATCTCTCGCTCTCTTTTTTATGTTCTGAAAAAAAAAAGAGAGGGAAAGAAAGAGAGAGAAGTAATTTATGAGCCAGAACCCACTCCTACATAAGTCCCTCTGAGAGCCACAAACGGAGAGATGCTCTAAGTCAGCTGCTAACTACCACTCTAGCAACACTGGCAAGGGGGTGTGTGTGTGTTTAAATGATTTCTGATGTTTCAGTTTTCCACTTCTGACATCATTTGGTTGCTTCGGCCAAAAGGGAAAGTAAAGAAAGATGTGAAATATAGGACACAAGAGATTCTGAAATGTCAGCTGTTGCTCTGAAAGGGCTCAGTCATGGCTAGATGTGGTTGTTTATGGACTGTTTGCTATTGTTTCCAAGGCCCAGTGTGCACATTACTGTGCTGCATGTGCTCTGAATTCATCCATGGGGCAGCTTTTGCTGCATCGCAGGGAGGTGTTTTGTGTACAAAGGATGAGCCCTGCAGATGAGTGTTTCAGCGTGTGTGTTTTGGTTTTGAGTATGGATGGAAAATTGCCCTGGTGAACCACAATATATGTTTACAGCTTACCACATGATGACAGCTACATGTGGAAGGATCCAAGTGACCTTTGTTAGGTGGCTGTAATACAGGCCTGCAGAGATGGTTGCCCACAAAGCTGCATGCAACCTGCCAGCCATGTCTTGTGGCTCGCCATGTTGGTGATGGAGCCCTTGTATATCCAGGCCCAGGGAAGGAGCAAAACAAGTGGCTTATTGAATGTCTACTGCAAACGTGGGCCACCTGCAGCTCTCAGATGAAATTCACACAGCCCTTGGCCTAACTTCAAAAGCCCTCTGTGAGCAAGCAGTTCAGACTTCTGGCAAGGACAGTATATCTCTCCCCTGGCAATCCTCCGAGCAGGAAGAAGCATGCTTAGGTTGCATGTTGTCACAAGCAAGACAAATGTGTGTACACTCCTTTGTTGTAGGAGCACTTCTGTAGCGGGTTTGTTTTGGTTGTACAAAGATCCTCTGCTGGCTGCATTATACTTTGGGCTACACTTCACAGCTTCTGTGCCCCTTCCCTTCTGATGTACTTCCACTCTGTATTCCTTTATGCCCGCATGTCATGGCGCATGTTATTTCCTTCTCACCACCCATCCTACGTTTTCTGCTTAATTATTTTTTCCTGTGAAAAACTGTTCAAACTCCTATTTTTGCAAGCACGAGGAATGTGGAACAGGTGACCCTCCAAATGGAGAGCCAGTGAGGTATAGTGGTTAAGAGCATGGGACTGGGACTCAGACAATCTGGGTCCTAGTCCCCACTCAGTCATGGAGCCAACTGGGTGACTTTGGGCCAGTCACGGACTCTCAGCCCAACCTACCTCACAGGGTTGTTGTTGTGGGGATAAGATGGAGGAGGAGAATGATGTAAGCTGCCTTGAGCCCTTTGTAGGAAAAAGGCAGGATATAAATTGATAAAACAAACAAATAAATAAATAAGTGTTGCTACTATCATGCTTTGTAATTGTCTATGATGGATAGGGCAGGTGGGAGTTGTAGTCCTACAACACCTAGAGGGCCATATGACTATCATACCTGCTCAAGAACCTGGAAGAACAAACCAGCCATTCTACTAGGTTCTGACAAGGGACTTTCATCATAGAGAAGGAAAGATTTCAGAGTCTAAATAATCTTAATATGACTTTCAGCAACAGTATATTTATTATTTTTAAACTTCTATGCTTCTCTCCTAACTTTCCTCCAGGAATCTTGGAGCAAGATGTAGACTGGGCTCCCCTTTTCTCCTCACCATAGCCTAATGAGGTTGGTTGGATTGAGAAATTAGGCCTGGCCCAAGGCCCCTAAATGTGTCTCCTCTGACCTCACATCTGAACTCAGGTTCTGGTCCACCCCTGTTAGCCTCTGCACACAAGGCTTGTGGCTCTGATTTCCCGTCTTCACTAGTATTAATTGGGCACAGAAACAGTGACTTATGGCCACAAGGAAGTGGGCAGTAGATCCAGAAGACCTAATGCTAGGATCAAGACACAAATGGCTGTGTTCCTCTTTCAGTGCAAAGGCCCAAGTTCATTTCTAGCTCAAGGAAAGGCACTCTTTGCCTCCCATTTTATTTTTCCAAAAACAGTGCTCTCTAGGAGCATCTGGTACTTGACCTTGTTTTAGTCTCAAGGGTCGCTGCTGAGATGAAATTATTTCTGCAATTCTTAATCTTGGTCTCTTGATAAGTGCTTAATTCCTTCCACTTCCACCAACCTGCACCACTGCCAAACAAAGTATCCTATATGGTTTGCATAAAATCAAGCATGAAAACAATGGGAAACAAATGCGAAATAGCAAACCAGATGTGCAGCACAATTAATTAAAATGCATCTGAATAGTTTAATATGCAGCCTAATTATGTAATAAAGCTCATAAAAGACACAGCAGCCTGCTGTTCCTGTCACACACACAATATGCAGTTTAATCTGGTTGTTCTTATCAAGTTACCTGCAACATCTGTACTTTTCACATTTTACTTTAATGGGTGTGTGTCTTTTAAATCTTAATGGGTTGTGCTGTGGAGGTGCCAGGGTTTAAACTGCAAAGTCCAGTTCTGATAAATGCAGGGAATGCTGGGGAGCCTGGTTTATATCACATGGTGTTCCCTGCACAACCTTTGCTGACACGAATGGAAGAGATGCTATGGCAGTGCTTTCCTGTCCATTGTACTTGCTTAAGCATAAGCATCTTTCTCTCCCTCCTTTCAAACAGACCCAGGCAATGGCAAACTAATAGTAATAACAGCAATAGCAATAATAAGCAATAATAAGTTCAAGCCAATCAGCCTTGCTTAAAAGTATAAACAAAGTATTGCAGTATTATTTTAATAACAAAAGAAACAAGTATAGTTAGGATACTAGACATTAAGGAAGTGCAACTTATTAGCAAGAAGTTGATTTCAAACAGAATATCCCTCCTTTTTTGAGACAAATTTACACGCAAATTACTATCACACATCCCTACGGCGAGTCCTGTGGGCTAAGGGCCAGTCATGTAGAACATCTGACGCTTCTCAACTGATTACCTTCTTTACCATACACTGGATAAGTGGTGGCGATCTGCTCTCCATTTGTCTTTCTACAGTGTCTGAAGCTGAATCTCAACTTATGTTAGTTGCAATGTTGTGCCCGACCCATCACGACCCCATGGACAACATTCCTCCAGGCTCTCCTGTCCTCCCCCATCTCCCGGACTCCACCTAAGCTCACACCGACTGTCTCAGTGACTCCATCAAGCCACCTCATTCTCTGTTGTCCCCTTCTTCTTTTGCCGTCAATTGTTCCCAGCATTAGGCTCTTCTCCAGTGAGTCCTTCCTTCTCATTAGGTGGCCAAAGTATTTGAGTTTCATCTTCAGTATCTGGCCTTCTAAAGAGCAGTCAGGGTTGATCTCCTTTAAGACTGACTGGTTGATCTTGCAGTCCAAGGGACTCGCAGGAGTCTCTGCCGGCACCACAATTCAAAGGCCTCAATTCTTAGGTGCTTAGCCTTCCTTATGGTTCAACTTTCACAGCCATACATTACAACTGGGAAAACCATAGCCTTGACTATGCACACTTTTGTCGGCAGGGTGATATCTCTGCTTTTTTGTATGCTGTCTAGATTTGCCATAGCTTTCCTCCCAAGGAGCAAGCATTATTTAATTTCTTGGCTGCAGTCCCCCGTCTGCAGTGATCTTGGAGCCCAGGAAAATAAAATCTGTCACTACCTCCTTTTCCTCCTCATCTATTTGCCAGGAAGTGAGAGGACTGAATGCCATGATCTTAGTTTTCTTAATGTTGAGTTTCAAACCAACTTTTGCACTCTCCTTTTTCACCCGCATCAAGAGGCTCTTTAGTTCCTCTTCACTTTCTGCCATTAGAGTGGTATCATCTGCATGGATGGACTACTGTGATGTTGGATGATTTGCCTTGGATTTTGGAGATTGTATGCCAGTACTGCTTTTCCTACTCTTTTATTGACTATGAAGGCTACTCCATTTCTTCTGAGGGATTCTTGCCTGCAGTAGTATACCTGATAGTCATCTGAATTAAATTCACCCATTCCTGTCCATTTTAATTTGCTGATTTCTGAGATGTTAGTGTTCAGTCTTGTCATCTCATGTTTGACCACATCCAGCTTACCTTGATTTATAGATCTTACATTCCAGGTTCCTATACAGTATTGTTCTTTACATCATCGAACTTTCCTTTCACCACCAGATACATCCGCAACTGAGTGTCCTTTTGGCTTTGACCAAGTTGCTTCATATTTTCTGGCGCTACTAGTACTAGCCCTCTGCTCTTCCTCAGTAGCACTTTGGACACCTTCAGACCTGAGGGGCTCATCTTCTGGCATCATACCTCTTTGCCTTTTGGTACTGTCCATGGGATTTTCATGGCAAGGATACTGGAGTGGGTTGCCATTTCCTTCTCCAGTGGATCACCTTTTGTCAGAACTTTCTGCTATGACCTGACTGTCTCAGGTGCCTCTGCATGGCATAGCTCATAGCTTCATTGTGCCACACAAGGTCCTTCACTGTGGCAAGGCAGTGATTTATCTCTGGGTTCCCTGGAGACTTGGGTCCTAACCTGTAAATGCTAATGTACTACTCATCTGAGGCAGAAACTGTTCCCTTCTCTCTTGAAGGCTCTTCCACAGGAGAAAGGGGCCCAATTTCTACAGTGTTTAGCATTCAGTTTATTTGTGATCAAAATTCTAGGTTCCTTTTGGTTGTGTCTAAACTCTGTCATTAGCACATGGTAAGGTGCAGAAATTAGGGGCTATAGCTGAAGAGGAGGCTTTTCTCTAAACCAGGCCTTCAGAAATGATGGTCCAGTAAGCTGAATACAGCTCAAGTGTGACTAGCCCTTGACAACATTTCTGCTTTTGAAGTCCTCAGTGTAGCTGTATGTCCAGGTTTATGGAGCTCTTGTGCAGGCAGCATGCACAGCTGGGGAAATGCATTTGGTCGTGAATCTCAGGTTTTACAGGATTGCCATAGAACAGACTTCTTCAACCCTTCAGGTATATTGATCTGCAATCTCCATCATCTCCAACCAACAGTCCTTTCGACCATTTTGTCTGGGGATTCCGGGAGTTGTAATCAACACAACTGAAGAACATGAGCTTGGACAATGGTGATCTGGAATTTTGACATTTTTATTTCACATCAGCTTATAAATGCTGTCATAACATCTCTCTGTATTTAGGACCTGTTGCCATAAGGTAAAGGTGAGTGTGTTAGAATCCCAAAGTGCATGCCTCTAAGTATATAGCAAGAAAATAACCTGCTGTTATATTTGTTTTTCTAGGATTGAACTATAACTTGACAGCAGATGTGGCAAAGAAAGAAAAGGGCAATCCAATCCGGGTTTACTTTGTCTCTTCTGGAGAACCAGTGGGCCAGATCACAGAGCAGTTGCAGCTATCTTATATGCAGGAGAAATGCAGGCATTACCTAGCCTATGTGAAGGTCAGTCCATTTCTGCCCATTTTATGCATGAATCTAGGGCTGTTTTTCCAGTTGTTGGTTTAAAGGAATCTACATATAATAATTCCGGGTTAAACTTGAAATGCATCAGCTGGAATAGACTTGGTTTGTATTTTAAACTTTGATCCCTGAAGTCATTCAGGGATCATTGAAGACCAGAATCCTAAACAAAGTTACCTGCCAATAAATCCCATTAAATTAAGTAGGCGTGCATTGATTAGTCTTGTAATCAATTGAACATTTGGAGCTTTCCTGTACAGTTATTAGATGTGTACTACAAATACTGGGAAGGAGAAGCATCTTCACAGCTGGTGCTCTGCCATAAGTAGAAAGGTCTGCATTTGCCCTGTCAGTGCAGAACTAGCTGAGAAAAACATGTTTGGATTCCTGTAACAGCTAAGAAATGTAAGGACCATTCACTTGCATGAGTTACTTCATGAACTAGACACCCATGTCAGTAGATTACACGGCTCTGTTTGGCCACTGCTAGTTTCTGTCTTCAAGTGCTCTGGCTTCAATTCACATAGCTTGACTTGACCTATTGGATGACAGGCATCCAACCCTTCTTGTGAGACTCCATTAAGGAGCTGCTGCTGATGTTGCAAAAGATCCGTCTCTTTCAAAAAGAGGCTTTCCCCCTTGGATACTTCTCTTTCTTTCTAAACATCTAGTGATGATCAGATTTCTTTTTCCAGGGTTTCAGCAGAGACCACCAAGGAGCCCCATTTATCCTCTTATGGTTCTTGGCTTGTGGGGCCTCTTGTCTTGCCAGTCATGAATATTACTCTTGCAGAAAACATAAGGAAGGATGCCAAGATGTATTCATTTATTGTTTACATTCAGAATTTCTTGTTTGCCTTTAATGTGCATCAGTGTAGGTCAGTTCAATGGAATTGTCACTTAGACATTGGAAAAAGATATTTCTCATTGGTTGCCATTGATGGTGCTTGAGAATAGCCTTCCCCAGCCTGGTGTCCTCCAGATGCTTTGGGCTACAGTTCCCATCAACCTGAAGCAGTCTGGCCAATAGCTATTGATGATAATTGGACAGTTATAGTTAAGAACATCTGGGGGACTCCTGGTTGGGGAAGGCTGATTTAAGATGTAGTCCCTTGTTTGGAAAATTCTATAGGAAAGCCCGAGGCTTTTGCGAAGGGGGCGGCATATAAATGTGTCAGATAAATGAATGCATACATACATACATAAGAAATACATGAAGTATTGCCTGGCAATTGCAGTTGCTCAGATAATGAAAAGCAAAGAGGAGAATTCTGAATGTCATTTTGTTAATCCATGAAGTGGGAGTGGTGAGGAACGATGCAGCAGTTGTTGCGAAGAGCACATATTTGGCTTCCCCAGTGATGAAAATGGCAGGAATGTTCATTTGTCTGCACAAGGATGTGAAGAGATAGGGAAGATGCTTCAGGAGAGCCTGGGCCCCAGTGGAAGGCAGTGAGTTGGCTGTTTAACGTTAGAAATGAAAGAGCCTTGAACATTTAAGAGGGCTGTGTGAAGGGGTCAAGATCACTTAGTATTTATTATTTCTTTTAGCAAAGAGGCCAAGGAGATGAATGTTCTCTGGATATCTGTTTATATGCCTCACTGACATAAGATGTTCTGTGCTCTATGATGTATCTGGAGATATTTTATTCAGAATGTTATGTTTTCCGTGAAGTTTCCTGTTCACCCAAACTACCTCCATCTCTTTGAAAGTCATTCAGTAAGAAGTTGGCTTCTTTCTTAATGCCCATCTGTGCTATTTTCTTTTTGCTGTAGTTTGTTTTGATGTACATTAACAAGAAAGCCTGTTACTTTTATTTGCCAAAAATATCCATTTGGACTGCCTGGAGGCAAGAGCTAGGAAGTCATGGACAAGAAAATGTGGGTGCTCCTCTTCAGGCACCACAGAGGCCCCCAGGACAAGGTGTGAATCTCTGATTTTTCCACTCCTACCTCTGGTTAGGTAGATTTACAAAGTCCTTTCATTTTGGCACATGGCTTCCAGTTTTTGTATGTCTATTTCTTCTGAGGAATAGGGGTTAAAGTGCTGTTTAAGTGTTTTTGAGTCAGTAAAAAGGTAAAGTAAAGGTAAAGGTTTCCCCTTGACATTAAGTCCAGTCATGCCTGACTCTAGGGGGTGGTGCTCATCTCCGTTTCCTAGCCAAGGGAGTCAGTGTTTGTCCACAGGCAGTCTCCATGGGTATGTGGCCGGCATGACTAAACACCGAAGTTCACGGAACGCTGTAACCTGCCCACCGAAGTGGTACCTTTTTATCTACTTGCATTTGCATGCTTTCGAACTGCAAGGTTGGCAGGAGCTGGGACGGAGCAACAGGAACTCACCCCATTGTGCAGATTTGAACCTGGCAACCTTTCGATCAACCAGCCCAGCGGCACAGCATTTGAAACCACTGCGCCACCTGCAGTCCATAAGTAGAGTCAATAGTATTAGGCACACAACTCTTTCTCAGCATGAAATGGTACCCTTGTTAACAATTAGTCCCAATCAGGGTTGGCTCCAAACTTAACCATGCTTAGAATAGATCCATGTAATGAGACATGTAAGCCACAAATGACTGAATTTTACTGATTTCAGTTGGTCTGCTCTAAGTATGACTAGGCCTGGTTCTCATGTAATATAAGTTGTCTGAATGAATGAATAAATGAATGAATGTAATGAGAACCCAGAATACAGGTTGAATATGGGTTGTCACTGAATCATAGATTGTCATTATGTGGAAACCCTGCACTATTGTTTAACTATGAGCTACTAACCATGAACAACCCAGGAAGGGAACCCATGGTTTGTCTGTGGGGTTGTGAATTCTGGGTTATTCGTAGTTAACAACCTAGAGTTAAACCATAGTTCAGGGTTCATATGTAACAGTGCAGTGGCAGCCTACACTCAGCCCATACTTTGCCTTGTGCTTATGAGCAAACCAGGTCTAAGTCTGGATCCAGCCCCTTTTGTTGAAGGCTGTCACTGCCTTTTGTCAGTCAATATTTTCCAATTACATCACTTTGTGCTGTTATGTGTGCTGGACAGTTCCTTATGCAACTGCCTTACATTCATTGTTTTGAAGGGCAGAACATTTTTAAGAGAACAAAATGAGTAACTCCGTATATCTACATCTACCGCTCTGTCTTTCTCTATCATGGGCAGAGACTATCTAAGCAGGTATTCTGTTGATGATTAGCTAGCAAAGACTCCACAATCCTTTCTGTGTTATTTCAGCAATTAAACTAGAAATGTGAGTTTTCTGAGCTTCCAGCTAAGGCCAGATGCTTAAAGAGAGGGTGAGCAATCTTACAAATGTCAAGCAAATTAAAAAGACACCATACCTCATGTCTTAAATATACAGTGTGGTAATAAATTCTGACTAAACAGGATATTGTTAAATTAAATGGTTCATGTGTATTTTCTGGTGGAATTTTGTAATCTTCAGCAGGAGATCATAGGGCATTTGGAATATTTCTGCTTTAGGGTGGCTGTTAGAACTATGTAGCAATGGCACTTCTGTAAGCAACCTTTATCAAAACTTTTCCATTTCCTAATGTTTTTATTATTTGAATGTGCCTCTACTCAGTGGTTTAAAAGGGACACAGCCTTTATCTTTGTATGTTTATTTTTATTGAAGAATATCAAGCATCCGTTCCAATTTTATGCGGAAAACAGGAACAGAGTTGGTTTTTTGCACTTGTGTGTTTGTAGCTTTTCTTCTCTGTTTCTGCCTTTTGTTGATTCTGTAAGTATTACTGAAGCACAGTTAGTAAAACCAATTTCCTCAGTATAAAGTGCTAGTGACTTGATCATTTGTAGAAAATCTTGTGATTTTTGTGGTAGCAGCTACATCTTTGTCTGGATCTAAGGGACATGGTGCGTTCTTGTGAAGATACCACTTGCTGTACATCTGTGGTGATAAAGAACTTGGGGATCTTAGCTAAGAACCTCATGCCTTGACCTTGGGGACTGCCCTAGTAAGTTACCATCAGCTTCATGAGCTAAGACCTCAAACCTTCAGACATGAAGAGAATTGGATTGTCCAACATCAGTCCCTGCAGTTAGCCATTAGTACTGCCTTCTTAAATGAACAGTGCAAAGAAATAGAAGAAAACAATAGAATAGGGAGGACCAGAGATCTCTCCAAGAAAATTGGAGATATGAAGGGAACATTTCATGCAAAGATGGGCATGGTAAAGGACCAAAATGGCAGGGACCTAACAGAGGCAGAAAAGATTAAGAAGAGGTGGCAAGATTACACAGAAGAACTATACAAGAAAGAGCTTAACGTCCCTAATAACCACGATGGGGTGGTCACTGACCTCGAGCCAGACATCCTGGGATATGAAGTCAAGTGGGCCTTAGGAAGTCTGAGCAACAACAAAGCTAGTGGAGGAGACAGTATTCCAGCTAAGCTATTCAAAATACTAAAAGACGATGCAGTAAAAGTGCTACACTCAATATGCCAGCAAATTTGGAAAACTCAACAGTGGCCACAGGATTGGAAAAGGTCAGTTTACATTCCGATTCCAAAGAAGGGAAATGCCAAAGAATGTTCAAACTACCGCACCACTGCACTCATTTCACATGCTAGCACAGTTATGCTCAAAATCCTACAAGCTATGCTCCAGCAGTATGTGGACCGAGAACTACCAGAAGCACAGGCAGGATTTCGAAGAGGGAGAGGAATTAGAGATCAAATTGCCAACATACGCTGGATCATGGAGAAAGCTAGGGAGTTCCACAAAAACATCTACTTTTGCTTCATTGACTATGCTAAAGCCTTTGATTGTGCAGATCACAACAAATAGTGGCAAGTTCTTAAAGAGATGGGAGTACCAGACCATCCTATTTGTCTCTTGAGAAACCTATATGTGGGTCAAGAAGCAACAATGAGAACTGGACATGGAACCACTGATTGGTTCAAAATTGAGAAAGGAGTTCAGCAAGGCTGTATACTGTCTCCCTGCCTATTTAACTT